GCAGGGGCGCCTCTATCGTCAGGATGCCATCCTTGGAGAGCGATGAGCGGATCTGCTCTGGGTTGGTGCCCTTGGGCAGCAGGAACTCCCGGTTGTACTCGCGATACACCGAGCGGTTCTCGGACTTCTCCTCGTGCTTGGCATGGACCTGCGTGGCCAGCACAAATGCACACATGACACCAGTCGGCAGAGTTATTGAAAGACCGATCAACACCTTGCATTTTCCACTACAGGGAACCAGCTCAGCATTCCTGCTAGAACAACCTACCCTACTTCTCGTATGTCACCTCTCTATCTCTCTTTCTTTCTCCACTTTTCCTGGCTTCCTCCCTTCCCACATGCCCTCCATCTTTTAACTCCGACACCACATGCCCTTGCAGTTAAAGAGGGGAGGGCAAAAACGACGACTTGAGGAGTTTTCAAACCTATTAAATAGATATCTACTAAATAGATATCATGTAGAAAACATATATATTCCCTGACCATCATATACAGCTGAGCTGTATGTGTTCTATTTAGACGGAATTTCTGTGTATGGTGCGGTGTATGTTTCTTGCTTTTTATTTCACACTACATGCTGTAGAACTTTTTTTACCTTGTTGTGCTTTACTGTTTTTTGGGTGCACGCCTTACTTGCTAGGCGGAAGTCTATAATTATTGTATAAGGAACGTTATGAATGTTTTTCTATTTCCTACTCTTTCATTCTTATATTTCTGCAACATTGTTGTACTTGTTTTGCATTAGGGCCCGTGACCCAGTCAAGTTATCTCATGGCAGCTTTTTGACTGGAGGCCCGCCAGAGTAATCTTCTGGAAATAAAAATGTAATTAATTCAAATAACTCTGGCTGCCACATCATTGGAACCAATTATGGGCGCTATATTCGACTGTCCTTCCCCACCCTTAGTGCTAAGATGTTGTTGCACAAGGACACGGTACAAATTGCTCAGCTTGGCCAGCTCTCTCGCAACGACCAGAATCATACCCAAGAAAAGGGAGCCCAATCACTGTGAAGGTGACCGTACGCAATGTTTGCTTACACCTACCACAGTTTGCTGGCGAAAGGCAGACCACACCAACGTAGGCAAGCAAAGCGCAGTAGCAGAATGTGTAAGCGCAAGAGGCGTACCTGGAGCCGGTTGTCCACGGTTTTTACGACGATCTCCTCCGGAACATACTGGGAAACGTCGAAGCGGAGCTTGAGCTGCTTGCTGCCGTCCTCGGCATCCTGGATCAGGGGCGAGTTCATGCCGTCCAGCCACGTCTTGCTGCCCGTACCAAGGCCAGTCTGCAACCAGAGAGCAACTGTCGGGGCTTGGACGATGCAGGGGCAGATAGATGGTTTTGCCCAAGCAATGGGCGTGCGGAGGGGTCACCTTAACGCCACCCAGAATAATGAAAGCTTGTGCACTAGAATTTGATGCCATCACAACGAGACTGAGCGTGGACACAGACTGGAGGACATGACTGCTGCGTCGGCGTTCGGCCGGACGTCGTCCAATTAATGCATCGGGCTCGGGAACTAAAGTCTGCGCACTGTACTTTTTTTCACTTCAAGTCCGCCCGCAGCCGACATTATACGATCCGATAGAGCCAGTCGAGTAGTGCCAAAAGTGCATCGTCGCGGCACTCCCAACGCTGTTTGCTATTCCCAACCAAACGAATCGTGCACGGAAAACATGTTGCAATCCTGCGCTTTTTTCAATGTGCGATTGGCTCAGCCCATATGATAGGAAACCGACAAAAACAAGCGCCGTGACAATGCACGTTCGCCACTACTTGATTGGCTCCAACGAATGGTAGCGCTGGCTGCGGTCAAACTTGGTCAAACGGAGTGTAGACTCTTGATGTCATCATGTGAGATAGGGCGCGGAAAGATTGGACATAACTGCTGTGTCAGCGTTTGGTTGGGCCTCGTGTCTGCACCCGACGACAGGTGAAGAAATCAGTATATGCTCTGCCTCGAGCGCGAGCTTTCTGCCTTTGACAACACCTCATCCTGCAGCCAAAGCATGGTGGAAAGCAACAAGCACATGCTGGAAGCAGAGTATCTATTGGGTTCTCAACCTGTCACCCACTATGGTCAATGCGTCGGGCTTGGGTCCAATAGACTGATTTCACCGAGAGTTCAATGCGTATGTGACGCCGCCATATCTGTAGTTACTAGGAAGCTAGCGCCAGTGCTTGAGGGAACTTGTGCCGCCCCGTGCTCTTCCTCAGCATGGTTGCTGCGTGTGCATAAAGACTACAGACCTCGCAATGCATGGCGGCAGCGGTGGAGTAATGAAACTGGCTGTGAGATCAGTCTATTATACAGAGCTGGCACCGTCCTTGCGTAACAATGTTATGTGGCGGTAGGGAAGGCCGTTCAGGGACTTCGGTTCTTCTGGGTGGTGTTTGTTCTGCAAACGACCATGGCCCCTCACCTGCGAGCCAGGGGCCCTGGAGAAGAAGTCCCGCTCGTGGTCCAGCAACTGGGAGCGGAAGCGGGACATCTCCTCCTCCATCTTCTTCATCTCTGCCTCGAAACGTTCCCGGATCGAGCTGAACTCGTTGTCCAGGATGCTGAGCTCGGACTTCTGGATGGGTACACGCCGCTCGGGAGCCATGGTGATGATCTGCGCACACGAAGGTTTCTGAAACACTGGCCGACGGCAGCCAACAAATCCTGGACAGCAACTTGCTGCAGTGCCGAATTCTGTGCCCCACGTTAGCCTTCTAAGACACCGAACACTGGGCACCTTGGCTTGGTCGTCAGGTGGTGTTGCAGCAGCGCGACAGTACGCTTCACATGGTACAAGCGGCGGGGCCTCCTAATGCGCGGCGCCCCCTGCTCCCATCACCAAAGCCCACACCTCAAACGTCGTGCGCCGCGGTGTTCGATCCGCGATTTTATCGCCCAGGGGTCGTCAAAACCCCCAGGCGGCCGACCGGGAAAGCTGGCGCCAGCGAAACGCTCGACGGCGCAGGGGGGAGATTACCCCATTTCCGTGAGCAACGAGCAGTTGGGCAAGAGCACAGCCGCGGCGTTGCGACACGGGTTAACGACAGGCGCCATGCACTGCAGCGCGCCCACTGGTCCGACTGCCGTCATCACGGAGTCCGCGACAGACAGACGCCGCTACAGCGCTACCAATAAGATGAGCGGCAAACACGAACCGCTGCCCGTAGCAAGCTGGCGTTTTGGAGACGGAACTGCGGAGGTCTACCGCGTTGGCGACGGCGCGAAATTTCTCAAACGGAAGCAATGCTCTCCCCACCCCTAGTCTAAACTCGACCGCGCAAAAGAGATCAGGAGATGCAGTCACGCAGTGTCACTTCTTTTCGCCATCAAGAGCAGACAAGGCCCATATATGGGTGCGTCCGTCTCGCACCCCGCAATTCTGGTGGGCGATATTCTGTGTGGGCGGGTCAAGTGGCCTCGACGGACGTCAAAGAGCCAAACTCGATCCCATCAATCATTTACGATTACAGCTCCTGGATGAAGCACCAGAACGAGTTTCCAGAGCACGTAGTGGACAATGGAAGTCACTACCGCTCGGGTTCTTTTGATTATTTTTTTTCTGTTTTGGAGTGGTCAACAAAGCGGCAGCTGGAACCAGTGGCTGGAACCCATCTTCGAGCAATGCCAGGGTTTATGCACCGCATATAAAGTTCCCACTATTCTACTGATAACGGTCACGATTTAAAATTATTCGATCTGTCACATATATGACTCGACGACATTTCTTAGTTAACGTCTATCCCAGTGAGCGAGAAACTGCCGTTTAAAGGTACGACACAGCCACAGCGTTAGAGGTAACTTACGGAGGGAGGTGCACAGCCACAACACTCGACTCTAGGCAGGTTGACGATGAGTCGACGGAGCTCACCTTGCCACTCAAATTCTTCCCAAAGAAATGATAAAAACTCACTTATGAACAGGATGCACAGTCAGGCGTTTGATAGAGAGTCAGGTAAGTGTCAAGAGCCTGTTATCGTGTTATGCAAAGGGGGAGTCAAATCACGCGAGCAAGAAAACCCGGTGTTCTCAAAGACTTCCTCGGCAGGCGGCGCAAGAAACCGCCCGACCCCTAAAGCCAGGGGCTTTACCCGACCCCCGAGAGGAAAACGGGTCAGTCTACCCACAAATTACACCGTCAGCAGCAACGTGTCTGCTCTCCAAAGAACATAACAGCAATACAGACCCTCGATAAAAATGCAGCTTGGCAGCTGTATCCGGAAGGAATTTGACACCCGATACGTCGGGCGCCGCTTATTCGTCCGGCGTTCCTGGAAATCGCGCTTGTCTCGAAGAGACCGACTAGAATAGCAGCGTCCTATCTTTACTCCGGGGTCAGACGCCGTGCCGGCGACCGCACGTCTCGCGACCGCGCCGCGCCAGCGGACGTCGGCAAAATCGCGTCCCGCCCCACACTATCGGTCTCAATTTGTCTCTATCGGGCACCTGTCCCACTCTTCCGCGCCGGAGCCGGCAGACAAAACGCGCGACAGGAAGGCGACTTACTTGAACAACGGGCTATCCACGTCCGGTAGACCTACTGGCGCAACTCGGCGTCACTGGCGCTTTAATAGACGCGAGTGCAGAAACTTCCCGAACAACGCCACTACGATCCGCTCGCCTGACTCATTAAAAAGAACGCGAGGGCTAACGTCGGAAAGGGCGGGCGAACCTACGCGCATGCGCCGGTGGGGCGCGCCGTCGTCGCCATGGCGATCCCCCAATGTTTGGTTTGTCGGCCCACTCGGCAAGGTCGAGGAGGCCGGCGTAGCCGGTCTGCCGGTTCCGACATCGAACGCAAATATCGGCCCCGGAATGGGAAAGAAGGGCGGCGCTCCCGTACGCGTCGCTCCAGAATCGCCAAAGATGGCTCGAACCGCTTCTCTCGAAGGTGAAGGCTCCCACGCGAGCCGAAACGTCACACGCGCCCACGGGGTGCCAGAAGCCGCCGGCCTTGCGCCCCCCGAAGTCCCGATAAGAGAGCACGCAGACGCTCGTCAACGGGTGAGAAACATTTATTCTGCCCCAAAGCAACACCGCTCCAAAGGGGTAAAGGAAATCAACCCACAGCAAACCCGCCAGACTCGTCGCAATAAAACGGCTCCACTTTATTTCCAAAGGAAATGCAAAAAAAAAGGAAAAAAAAAAAATTAAAATTGTAATTACAGCAACCGTACACATTAACCAACTCGTGCAGAAAAAAAAAAAAACACCCAGAGCATACCGCCCAGAATACATATCTACAAAAATTGTACAAGGCGCTTTTCAAGAAGCAATTCTATCTACAAGGCAAAACAACCGTCGATGCTCGGGTGCCCAGACGTGCGTGCCGGGGGCGGCATTGGTTGACTCCCTTGTGGGAACGACGGCGGCACGAGCTCCGGCCGGGCGGCCCGCCGAAAGGCGGCGGGGCCAAGCATTGACCAGTGCGTGCGGCTAAAACCGGAAAGCGGGTTTCGTCCCGTGGCGCTAAAGGTTGGCGGGGCTGGCCCCCCTGTCCAGCGAAGGGGGGGGCTATGTACAGGTGATATGGGGCCCCGAGAGGCACTTGTCATCCCTCCCCGAACATGTGGTACACGTGCTGGTACTGGGGCTTGCCGGGGCTCAGCGGGTTTAGGCCGTAGGCGGCGTAGGGAGGGAAAGTCGGTGGTCCCGGCGCCGGCGGGGCAGCGGCGGGCGCCTGGCCCGGCTGCAGGTGGGCCGGGAGTGGGTGGGCCGCGTACGGCACCGCCGCCAGGGGGGCCGGGGCCCGGCCCCCGCCGTGGTGGTGGGCAGGGGGTGGCGCCAGGAACTGTCCCAGCACGTACTTGGGCTGCTGCTGCTGGCCAGGCAGGTAGGGTTGCCCCAGGCTACTGGCCGCCACGTACACTGTCGGCCGGCAGTACTCGCTGCGAAGGGGGGGGGGGGGGGGGTCGGGCATTTACTGTACGGTGCCTGAACGTGTCTTCGACTGGCGTGTTTAATGTCTATGCCGTCGAATGTCGCTATCCCGGTGGTTGATTGCAAAAGTTCTGGCAAAAGAGACGAGCGAACGCGAGTGTTGCCGTCGTCGCGGCATTCCCAATCCCCGCCGCCATAGCTTGTGCAAGCTGCCAGACTGGAGAGCCACCTACAACGGGACACGGATCTGCTGCATTAACCTCCACCACAGGCCCCTGCGTGACATAAATGTGACGCCGCAGGTGGCGATCGAGGGAGCCCAAACTATACCTACATGAAGTGCACGACCGATCACGCAGTCTAAATCGCGACAAAACATTTAAACCGGAATATGTTGTCAACTCGTCAAACACAAATGATTCGTCCATTAAAAACACCGTTTTACAAATACAGAATTATAAAAAAACAAAACATGAATAAAGTTTTTGTGGTTATGATTGGCGTTAATTTTACAAATATTAGGCTCATATATGCACGAATGTAAGCTGAAATAGTATGCTGCTTTTTTTTCTCTCGTCGTGTTCATGTTTCTTTTTTAAATTTTTATAACTTTCTGTAATTCTCAGCGAATATATTTTGTTTGTTACAAGTTTGGTGCAATTGTGTAAATATTTTTCAACCTCTCCCGTAATGGCCTTCCAGAGAAGGCCAGCAGTATCGATAAATAATGAAAAACTGTGCGGCAAACGGACCAGTTAAACGCGTCTTCTGTACTTTGTTTGCCCCTAAGCTGCCAGTGCGGTGGAAGATGCGCGTTTGTTGGGACCGCTCACACATCCTTCTTCCACCACCCGATCACGCTCCCGCCCATGCCTAAGCTCAGCGAGCAGGCTCAGGTGAAGGGTCGCCGATTGGTCGCACGAGTGCATAGCTCCCACTGCACTGTCAGCTTAGGGGCGAATGGAGTGTGGGCACCGCAGCGCCACTCACCGGTACAGGTCGGCCGCCTGCGCGGGCCCCGAGGACGCCAGCTGTAGGGGTGGCCCCAGCTGGTGCAGGGGCGACAGGTGTGCCTTGACCAGACGGTCCCCCTCCAGCAGGGAGCTACGCTCGTCCACCTCCCGCTTGGGGCTCAGACCCAACACCAGGCGGCGCCCGCCGCTGGTCCCAGCTGGGTGCTGCGGTGTCGGCTGGCCGCACATGCCCCCGCTGCAAGGCACAATGCCACCGCTGTACTGCGCAGGTGCGTGGCACTACCACGGTACTCGAAGCATCTAGCGGTGTCCCCGATGTTCAGTTTAGTTTTAAAGACGGCAGAGTTGTAATGCTCTTTGTGTCACCCTGCATCACCCCTAGCAAAAATTTTGTGCGTCACCGTCCTATACTCTAGAGTGCACTGGACAGGGGACGTGTGGTTCAAAACATAAAGCATGCTTCGTCAGCCAAACAATAAGCCGTAGCCAAGCGATATGCTGTTGCTGTGTTAGAACGGAGGCTGTTGCACGCATCGACCGTGTCTGCAAATGCAGGCAAACTGCTCTAGACCAAGAAGTCTATAAACATTTTGCCTAAGGGTTTGGATCAGGGATCTGTCGCAGCCTCGAAGGCCAGAATATAAATAAGTAAATATATCTGAGAAAAAGCTAAATAAATAAACCTAAATAAGCATTGACACAAATTAAAGTTAGAAAAAAAAAAAAGAATTAAGGGGCATTAACCCCTTAAGTGCCTTGGACGAGCTGAGCTCGTCGGCCACTTTCTGGCTAAAAATGCTGTGGACGAGCTGAGCTCATCCGAGTAGTTTTGCGGCGCTGATCATAGATGGGGGCAGCACTCGTTTTAGTTGGCAAATATTTTTTCCGCCGCCGCTGATTTTTGCGTAATAAATTTTTCAAATTTTATGTGTAATACTAGAGGAATAACAATTCAGAATAAAAAAATAAAAATATGGAACTTTTAGGTTACTTTTGAAAAAAATTTGGTACTTAAGGGGTTAACCTTCTCATGCATGTTAAGTACATAATATGTTCAGAAAATTAAAATATTTTGTTCCTTAAAAATATATTTTGCTTAAGCAGAACGGATGTGTCCTCATTTGAGGACAACATTCATTCTAGTGGTCAGGTAATCTCATTTTCGGTGTTATGCAGTAATTTTTTAAAATCAAAATGATTAGAGCATTTGAACTAGAACACCTTAGCACTTTTTTGTGTCCGTATTACAATACTAAACAAAATCCTGCGGCACTGGAAAACAGACGTGAACGTCTAACGATGCAAAGCACTTGGTGCAAAGCGGGACATTGCAACACCTACAGGCATAGCGTGTCTTGCTGCAACAGCGCTGTGCATTCTTCGAAACCATTTTTTGGGAATAATGGGCACTGTCATCAGGCCATGTCTAAAATTGCTTCAATTTCTTCGCTTGTCAGGAAAAACTTGTCTAGACTTTCTCATTCCTGCGAAGAGAATACAGAGGTATACAAAAGTTGACAGTGCATGAAGCAAATGAGGGCAGTGCTGCTGTATGGTGTCCCCATTTAAGGACAGATATAGTGAGCATCAACGAAACAAATAAAGAAATAATTTCTTAGTTTTGATTGCTAATAATTGGTTTATGAATAGAACAAACTAAAAATTATTTTTGTTTCAATGTTTTGGCAAAACTTTGCAGGTAGAAAATTATTTACTTTTATGAACTGCTGCTTGGCGTTGGAATGAGTGGAGGCGATATTGCATACCATCTTGGTTGGATGGATGGATGAATCCGGCTGAGCCCTTTGAATCGGGCGGTAGCTTACGCCACCTAGCCATTTTGGTGACAGCCGGCAAGTGCTGCCGTCTATCGGCCACTTGGAAAAGCTTTTTCTGTCCTCGCTTCAAGGCACCATGCCACAAAGCATAGAGCAAAATTTTAATGCAATGTAAAAATAAAAAGAAAAGTTGTTTTCACATGTGGTTGAGATCCATTCTACATTTAGCTAATTATGGCATTATACAATAATTACAAGCCAGAAAATTCACCGGACATAAATAAAAAAGCTTGGGAGCCTTGGCATATTGTTACGAGATAGAAGACTGATCAGTTTGGCAGAAATGACGCTAACAATATGCACTAAAGTATTAAAGTGGGCTAGCTGCTTCAACATACTGAAACTATAAAGCACAAGAAACAGACTAGGACATGAAGTAGACAGGACAGCGCTGCCCAGGGCGGATGCAGGAATTTCCTGAGAGGGGGGGGTCAGGTGTTGGTCAGCGTACCATATGTTTAGTAAGCCCTCCCCCTCTCCTTCGTTTTATGCCCTAAATTTTACACATGCAGAAATCAAGAGGAGGGTCAGGACATTCGGACCCCCCCTCTAAGTTTGCCCCTGGCGCTGTCCTGTCTACTTCATGTCCATGTCTGTCCCTTGTGCTTTATAATTTCAGTACGACAATATGCAATAGTCATAACACTGAAGACTATTAAGCACATACACATGAACTTTTAGTGCAATAGCATCCTTTAGCTACTCCCCCCACTTTCCCCCCCCCCCTCCCTCCCTCCCTCCCTCCCTCTTCCTCTTCCTCTTCCTCTCCCTCCCGAGGTTACCCTGGAACCACACTTCATTAGAGCGAAGGTTTTGCGGTACTTGCGAGGTCAAATGTACATACTATCTATGAGAAATGGTCTTTTATAACATTGTCAAAAGGTTTTCGGGTCAAGAAAGGAAGAATGATACACAAAAGAAAAAGAAAACATACGGAAATGGCAAGAGCTCTACGGCTGCCCGATAGATGACGCTAGTGTGTCCCCATCACAAACAAAATTTTCAGCCTTTCCGCTCTGGTGAAGAAGGAAGACCAGCAAAGCTGTATTATGATGGGACGACGTCTAGGACGACCTCAAGGATGACCTCAGGCACGAAGTTTAGGACGACCTCAAGGACAACTTCAAGGACGACCTCAAGGATGACTTCTAGGACAATCTCAAGGATGACTTCTAGAACAATCTCAAGGACAACCTCAAGGACGACATCTAGGACGAAGCCTCGAGAAATTCAGCCTTTCCACTCTGGTGAAAACCAGAGTGGAAAGGCTGGAAAGGTTGTTGCCATCCATGAGCGAGGCCGGGAAGCCGGTTGTCTGGTTGCCGCCATTGGTCATAGATGGCGGTAGCTGTCCAGAGTTTTGTGTCGACATTTCCTTGCGGGGGACACGATCCTCGAGAAACTAGTCCTTAACAGCTCCGCTGTAAAAGCTATAACTCTATATTAAATAAATGTTAAGAAAAAAAAACAACACTGGCTAGGTGGCCAAGCCGCACCCAGTTCAAAGGGTTAAGTTTCCTCCATCCATCCATCTGTCGTAAGAGGTCGCAAGTGTGTGAGCCAGTGGTAACACTTACGTGTCCCTGTGCGGCTCCGGCTTGATGGCCTTGGCGGCCAGCACGCTGTTGGTGAAGTTTGGCAGGGGCCGCAGGGGGCTGTAATGGCCCTCAGAGTCCGAGTCCGGCACCGTGATGCAGCTGGCCATGCGGGGTCGCAGGGCCCCCATCGCACCTGCACAGTGTGGAACGGCGTGAGGCACCCCCCCCAACGGTCGACGCTGCACGCAATGACCTTCACCGAACCGTTCCGGTACAGCATTCATGCTCTGTTGCCGGTTAAGAAGAGCAGGACAAGCCCTTCCCGCCAAGCTCTCTGCTCTCCGTGGGACGTGTCTTTGATTGGTGCGTCTAGGGTCACGTGACGACCGCAAATCAAGAGCGGTTCCAAAATGAAAACAAACTCCACTGTGTCTCCCCAAAAATTTACAGTGTTTGTTTTTTGTTTTCACTGCAAAAATAATTTACAAATTGAAAAAATGTTAGTCTTCTTGCCCAAATGTAGCGCTAGTGGTTCGATCCAGATGCCAAAGCTTCAGAACTAACCGTTATATCATTCAAAAGTTATAAGCAATTGTCTGAAAATTTCTATGGGAAATTGGGGCGCGTTTTTTCCAGTTTTCCGTGACTGGCGCCGTTTGGCTCTCCGTGTTCGAGAGGTATGTTGGCAGCAATTTTCCCACTGAAAATTTATACAAAATCCCTTATAGACGCTTTGAAAAAGCGCCAGACCGTTGACGAGCCTCCATAAAAACCATGCACAGCTGCTGCAAGGAGTCTATAGCTTTTGATTTAGAAGTTTGGACTACTATGCTATATTTTGGCGGAGAATGAGCGTTCGATGATGCGAAGTGTATCTTTGCAGTGACAAAATTCTGTACATTTCTTTTGGAGGGGGGGGCACCTCGTATGTTATAGGTGCTGCTGTGTCATGCTGTCGAATGTCACGATCCTGAAGGTTGGTTGTAGAAGTTCCAACAAAAAGCATGAGCGAGTCCAAGGGATGCCATCGTCGCAGTGTCCCAACTCGTTACCACTCAAGTTTTTATGGACTGTGAAACCGAGCAGCAGCCTACAGCAGAACGAGCACCTGCATTGCACACCTCAGCTGCCGGGGTCACTGCCAGGATGAGCGGCAGGCAGAAGGGATTGTTACCTCCCGGGGCTTGTGGAGTTCTAAACCCGACGAGAGAGGTATGTGCAAGTGAAACCATAACACATGACTGTTGACGAGATGAGTCGACGGTTCGTTAGGTTGGAGCAATAATCAATTGCAGCATAAACTCGCGTAAGGCCAGCCCTGCTTCAAATTTAGAGACAAAATTTCAAACCAAGGCCTTTACCCGGGGAAAGAAATAAATACAAATTACAGAGGCATTATTTGTTGTGTGCTTCGCTTCAAGATCGCTCTGCTTCAAGCTTTCTGTGCTCACTTTACTTTCCGCAGAGGGAAAAAGGGCAATGTTGTGACACACATTGCAACACGACACACTGCACTAAAATGTGATGGCGGGAGAGGCCGTGGTCCATAAATGCTGGGGTGCGGCCTGTTCGAGAACCAACCAATCCCACTTCCGAGATAAAAAGCTTGGGGGCATAGCTTTGACAAAAACACTGGCAAACAGGGTTCACACAGCTGGAACTGCATGATATCAGAGATGTTTGGGAGATAAGAATGTTAAAGACAGACGACCAGTTCATGCTTTCCCCTTTTCCTTTGCTTCCTCCTTTCCCCCCTTCTAGACTGTGCACCGCTGCCTGTTTCCTCCTCCCCCATGTTGAGGAGGATCTTCTGCCTTGCAGAATCTCGAGTCTGGTCGTCGGCCTTTAAGGTCCCCAGGGGGTGGCGGTGGGGAGGATTTCCCCTCCTTCCTAAATTACACAGAAATGTCCAGGGGGCACCGACATTACCGGCAATGGCTGGTGCGACTCACCCGTGGTGCTTCCCCTGCGCTGGAAGGCCGACGGGGCGGCCTCGCTAGAGCCCAGCGGGTGCGTCCAGGCCACGTCCACCCCAACTTGTTGCGGCCCGCCCGGGGACAGGGTCCAGCCCGAATGGGACGCCTCCCCGTCGGGGGTCAGGGCCACTACGCTGGCGCACGAAGACGACGTCACCGCCGCCGCGGGGGCTGCCACCTGTCGTTGGGGCCGCCAACCGTGCTGCTGCTGCTGCTGCTGCTGGCACTGGCGGCAGCCCCGCCCCTTGCACGCCCCGCAGCCCTCGTCCTCCGAGTCCGAGCTGATGGTGATGACGCTCACGGCGGGGCTAGGCGTGTCCCTGATCACGATGGCGCCGCGCTCCTTGCCCCTTGCGGGACGGGCCCTGTGGACAAGAGGGGTTGGCACAAGCACCCCGCTGGTGACGAGGCAACACCCGGTCTAGGCACTGACAAGGTGGGGATGGCAGGGAGTCTCTGCAAGGTGCTTGGACTTTGGCGTTCGCTCGCTGCTTTCTGCCGCGCTTTGACTGCGCGTGCACATACTAGTCTAGCGAGACGCAAAGTGTCGTTGACGGCTGGAAGCTCACACTTGAGGTGGGAATACTGGAGGACTCCACCGTCGTTTTCACCTTGTCAGTAACTATAAATAACGAAGCCAGGAAGCTGGAGCTTCTACGTCACAGGCTGAAAGTTGGCGCAGGGCAGCGATTGAACACGACTACCGCGTCGGCATTCGGCCGGGGCTCGCGATTGGTCCGCGAAGAATCGTCCGAAGGCCGATGCGGCACTCATACTCCATCGGGGGCGCAGTAAAGGCATCTATCGCTACAGCCGTCCAAGAGGCGTGCCTTGCGGGACTCACCCGTGCTGCCTGGAGGCATCCCACTTGGGGCTCTCCTTCACCCGCTTCTTGACGGGGGACAGGTGCTGCTGGTTGGTCCTTGGTGCGGCCACTGGGGGCTGCCACTGCTGCACCACGGGCTCCTCCTCGCGGTACGAGCTGCGGCTGAGGCAAACGTCGGTCACTCGCAATTAGGCGGCGTCCTTTTATTTCATGGTAATTATTTACGTTGTGGCAAGGAGCTGAACCGCAATCGGGGCGAGGGTCAGATGCATTTGTAACTGACACCGGGGAACCAACGCGCGAGTCAATTTAGTCTACGAGTTCCGCGTTAGAAGCTTGACATGCCAAAACGAAATGGGCCTGTCGCAAGAGCGGCGTGCATGTCCGACGTCCTCAGTGAAACTACTCTAGCAAACCCAGCGGTAGACTGTCGATAACTCTAGGTAAGACACTCTGTGACTTGCGTAAAAAAAAAAATCTCCTTTAGGACCTTTCTATTGAAGTGTGCAATGCTCTTTAAACGAACCCCCTAATCTAAAAAATTTGTTTACCCATCCATCTGTGCCTTTTCCCACTAAATTTAGAGGGGAAATCAACGTCATACAGTCTAAGCTCGTTATGCAAACTTAGACTGTATGACCAGAAGAAACCACAGGACACAGCGCTGTGTCCAGTGGTTTCTTCTACTTCGTCCTTGTCTCTGCGCTGTTTTGTTTTATCATGTATAACAGACACTGATTTTGACCAAGATTTTAGTCTGTTGTAAAAGCAGTATGCTGTATGCAAATATGAAGTTGAGTCGATGGTATGTAGATCAAAACCAACCAAACTTCACAAATCGGTATGTTATATCCAAATGTCAGTTGTCATACCACAAATGTATGACTCGACACCATGAGGTCACAGACCGGATTGTGCGACCCTAAACTGGTCGGCATAAATTTTCCCTTTATATTTAGCAGGGAAATTAATAAGCGTTATGTTCTTCACTCCCCCCATAAGACTACTACAATGACTTCTAAACGACTTTAAACAATCTCTCCTTATAATCTGCATTCCACACATTTTTGCACTTTGAAGATGAAGGTTGGTCATAATTTCTCTTTATCACTCATCTGGTTCAAGGCATGGAACAAAGTACAGAGACTGAAATCGAGTAGAGAAAGAGAGCACAGTGATTGAAACAAAGTAGAGTACAGTGAATGAAACGGAGCACAGGGTACAGCGATCGAAACGGAGTGCAGAGTACCGCAATCGAAACGGAGGCCCGGCGTGCTCACCTAGTCTTGGAGTGCCTGCGCGTGGGCTGCTGCTGCGTCTGCTGCGTCTGCTGCTGCTGCTGGGGGGGCTGCCTGGCCAGCACGTGGGCCCACGGCTGCGCCAGAGGGATAACCCGGTCCGGAAGCAGCGCGGCCCGTTCCAGCACCAGGGAGCGGCCCCAGGAATCGTCGGCCAGCAGGCCTGCCGCCCGGGCGGGCCCCTGCCAGGGCACCAGCATCTGGCGGCCCCCGGCCCAGGCCGACGGCCCCGGCTGCGTGAGCAGCACCTGGCGCCCGTTCTGCTCCAGCACCGAGACCGGCACGTACTGCTGCAGCTGCAGGGGTGGCTGGGCCGCCGCCACCACCACGTGCTTGGCAGGTGAACCCAGGGCGGAGGGCGGGCACAGCAGCAGGCTCTGCTGCTGGGGACGGGGGAAGGGGACGCGTGAGTGCACACCGCTCACGTTCCTCCCGGTACCGTTAGATGAGGTACGCCTAGAGCGTCGACGGTCCGTACTTCGACTGTCACATAGGCGCCGGCATTTAGTTGCTAGTGCGGAGCGGGTGCAATAGGCAGTAGTTACGTTTTGCAAAAAAAGAAATGCAACTTCAAGAGCAGTGGTTCTCGACCAGTGATGTTTTGCGGACCTCTTTTGGATCGGCGGAGATGATGGAGGACCCCGTTCGTGGTGAGGGGAAGGGTAACTTACAGGTTAATTATGATAATGATTTAATAAATTGATAGAACTAAGGGCTAGTGTAAAGCTGACTTCTCTCGTTGACACACATGCGAGAAAACTAGCCCAAAAACTAAACATTTTGTCTCAATCTGAAAAAATAAAACTTCTATTGCAGGGCCTGACTGATGAGGCAAGGCTTTATGGACCTGTAAAATGCCTTCGCGGACACTGTGGGCTACGCAGACCCTCATTTGAAAACCGCCGTTGCAGAGCTTTAGATGCGGTGTCGGGAAGCTCGGGAGAAATCATTTTGTTTGGTAACGGACAGCTGTAACGTAATGGCGGCGATGAGCTCAAGCACCACGATGACCGACTGTCATCACTCTGAGGCGTAGCTTGTTTAGTGGTTCTAGTTACCCATGCACAAGACGGGCAGCCAAAAAGTCTTTGCCCACGCCACTGGGAACATATCAGCGAGATTGTACATTGGTCGTCGGCGCGGGCGGACAAAGCATTCTTGTGTCTATCCCTCCTCGCATTTTCGTGCGGGCACCTTGGTAAACCTCCGAGCTGCAATATTTTTAGTCGCCAACAAGCCCCGCTATGCGGCTTTTTTTTTTTGTCCCAAGTGTGAAAGATACATTTTGGGGGTAGACAACCCAGGTGGATGAACATAATCTAGGTAGACAGCACGACACTGTTGGCACTATCAAAATATCGGCGGTTTTTTGCATTTTGTCTCTAGGAGGTAACGACAAGTGCCCACTTTTTATATTGCTTGGCTTGCTTGGCCAAAACCAGGGCTCTTCCAGGCACTGGAAAAGGCCACTACATACAGTAGGCTAGCAATAATTCAAACTCGGATATTTTATACTTCTCATTAATTCAAACAAATTTCAAAATTTTGGCTGTCCGGCTATATTTTTAATGCATTCATAAGCCGCTTATTTCTAACGGCGTTTTCGCGTAATTCATACTTTTCGTTCTCGCGGCCCCGTTGAGTGCACTGCAGAGAAGCGACACCAGCGGAGCTTGCTTCTGCGGGTGCTGCATCTCTGCAGTACACCGGTGTTCGGTGAGAAACATACTCAACAGGGCTCAAGCAGGGCAGACGAGCTATAACAACGGGCACCACACGAAAATTTCTGTAGCAACTTGCACGGATGCTGCGACATGGCGGCATGGCATAGGTCCACATGACAGCGTCCGCGCAAGTTGATATGAAAACTGCCATGCGGTGCCCGTTTTCATCGCTCATGTGTACCCTGCTTAATAGTCCACATTAGACAACTTCTTGGCCTGTTGAACAAACTTAATTTTGTTTTGAGTTGTCATGTGCTGTCTAAACAGTCCACGATTAGCAACATTTTTGATAGATAAATAAACTTATGTCATACTTGTCTCAAATGTTTAATGTGTGACATACCTGCTTATGATCAGTAGGCCTATCTTTGTAAAGGAAATCATCAAATATCTGCCTTGTATGTGTAGCCATTGATATGGCCAATCAGAATTTTATCTTGCATCATATTTACTGATAATTCAAGCTTCTGATAATTTCAACAGAATTTGTGATTCCCTGGAGCCTGAATTAATGAGAGTGTACTGTACTCCCAAGCTTCCACGAACGAACTCGAACTCACAAAACGGAGGCATCCTTGTGGGGGGTGAGATGCACTCAAACCGAAAGAGAAAGAAGAGGAATGCCCAGCTTCATGTCCGAGGCTCAACTGCCCCTCTTTACAGTTTTTATTGGTGCCTTGACTCTTTCTCGCCACACAGCTATCGCCACAACACCATGTAAGCGACAGAAACAGTGCCTCTGGCGTCGAAAAAAACACGGCGCGAGCAACGGGCGTGCTTTCCCTAGGAAAGGCCTGTCCCCTCACCTGCTGGGGCTGCGGGGCCTGTGGGTGAGCCCGGGCGTAGAGGGGCGAGGGGCGCCTGCAGGCCTCCATGGCCTGGACCGAGGCCCGGACGTTGGCGCAGTGCGCGTAGTCCACCAGGTGGCTGAGCCCCACGAAGCTGTGGTTCAGGGCCTCCCCGGGGGCCACCCGCCGCTCCTGATCCAGCGTCAGCATTCTCTTCAGCAGGTCCACAAACTCGCGTCGGTCCGCCTTCTCTGCAAGCAGCTCCCCGCCCTCGAGGTCTGTCGGAACGTTCACCTGCGACACGCCAAGAGGGAGATTATATTCGTGAATACTTTTACTGCAGTTGCTTTGGTTTTGTTTCAATGTGTGCCTTTACTGCTGTTAGGTGTTTACTGCTTAGGCGGTATGTTGAAAATTTTCTTTTTTTCTTGGCCTTTACATTCCTGTAAGAACCCCCGAAAGGGTTAAAGGCTGGTTCACACTGCTGCAATCGACCACGACAGAATCAGACAAACCCGGTTTTTAATCCTCTTGTGTTGGCTTACAACCGTGCCGCACAGCAGCAATGGCGGTCATAAGTAGCTCAAAAGCCTGTTTCGTTGGACTCGGTCGTAGTGCATCACTAAAGTGCGAACCAGGCTTTACAATGCAAGTAAAAGAAGAATGCACTCGGATCGATGAATGTGGCTGAATCCTTCCATTTGGAATTAGTACACCATAATAAACAATCTTATATTGCTTAGCAACTAAGCACGAGCTTTAATTTACCGTTCTCCACAATCAAAAAGTTACGATCCGTGTGGCGGTGGTGCCTCTTTACAGCCTAGTGCACACACTCTCTTCGCCCTACGAATTGAAAGGAAAATTATAACAAAACTTTATTCTGCCCCCAATTCAATTTGCACTTGAAGATCTCCACCTTCCCAACATACATTTTTCACTTTGCAAAAGGCATCCTGGCAGAACACCTTTCCCTACGGACATCCTTGCAATATCCCAATGCTCCGTGAATGTCTTAGATACGAGACTTGTACCGCCTGAGACCGTGTTGGGTGCAACTCATCATGCGCACCTGAACACGAATGCTTTCACCACTGCTCAACGAATGGTTTCACCGCTTTTCATTGATTTGCAAATGAACGAACGAGGAGCACTCCAAAGGTGCCAGACAAAACGTATGCAGCTCTAGACTCGCTTGAAATTGAGTGGAGCTTCCTTAATGAAAAACGCATTCCCAAAGACTATCTTCTTTTTTTTAATTTTTTTTTTTATTTGTTTTTATAAGACTTTTTGCCTGGTAGGGTTCGACGGTGCTGTGAAGGGGACACTGAGGGTTTGTTGCAGCACAAACCAAGTTTCGTTCAGGACGTCTTGTCTCCGACCAAACATGGGCGGGCCCCTTCCATATTCGGCGAAGGTCTAGGTCAGACATAGGTCACACCGGGAGGTGCACCAATAACGGAACCCGGGAACATCACAACAAAGTTTCTAAGGCCTCCCCAGATTCCTGTCATCCCACAGTCATACATGCCCGCTCGTGTTCGCTTTGTCATTCCCTCTTTGATAAAACAAAAATCCTGGGGGGGGGGGGAGGGCATGACAGCAGATTCGGCAGGGAGATCATGGAATCATTCGCCATGACCACAGCAAACAATGTGTCAAACACTTCCCTCCTGCTGATGAAAACTGAGGTTGAATTTCTAAAATCCGAGATAAACCCACCTCTCTGACTTGCTCTTCGCGTTTCTTATCTCCCCTTCTCTCCCCTTTCCCTCCTGGGTTCAGTCCACTGCTCGCTGTGGGAATTTTTAATCGTCCGTTGCTAGTTGAAAGATGTGGTTGTGTTGTTCATGTTTTAAGTGTTTATTCTTTCTTCATCCATCACATTATTTCGGTGGCGGTATTCCAGCCCTTAGCCAAATGTATTCCTGCATTTGTATTTCCAAATGCTTTTTTGATTTTTCAGAAGTATTCCCAACACATATAGCGATACTTCATTATAATGTAGTATTCCAGTATCCGTGCTTCGGCTGCCTTTACTATGCATCTTAGTATTTGTATCGAATTCTACCCAACCCTATCCAGAAGAATGGGCCAGTTGTATCCTTTTGTGACGAGAGGGTGTCATGAATAGGCCGAAAGAGATGGTTTGGTGATATCTGTAAGTTATTAAGTTTTTGCGCTGGTCACATAGAGAGGGCCTGAATATAATCAAATGTATTATTTATTCCCTTAAAAGACGCCCCAAAGACGCTAAATTTCAAAAGTATGCATGGCCGGTTGTGTCGTGACGTCACACCAGGCATGGTAACATCAGAGTCGTGGGCACTGAATTATTTCCGGTTTTGATCAACATGATTGACGGTGTGTACAAAGATGATTGTCGTAAAATTGAGCTTTCCTTAATACCGTACATCCTGTCTTTCTTAGAACAAACTTATTTTACTGAGACAGCAGTCGAAAGTTGAAGTGGCTTGCTTTGCCTGATGTTACGTCAGAGCTTCCGCTGTTGCCAACGAAAATGCTGTGTTTTGCAGGTGCAATCTGAGTAGTTGGGCTCTATTTAAAATTAAATAACTTGTGCGGTGGAGGAGTAAAGATTTGGATATTGTGTGAATATTATACCTAAAAGCAATGACAATATAATTTAATTGTTTTTTTTAAAGACAAAATTATACAGGACAATCCCTTTAATTTTGTCGTTTAATGGTGCTAAAAAAAATTTATAACATCAAGATAAGGAATGACCCTAGTCTATTCTTTTCTTTGACATAAATCAAACATCAGTATGTGCATGAACAAGGCAAACATGGAAGTGCAGTGTCCAGTGCGATGTCACAGATTATCTTTTGTTGGCTTCCGTCAGCTTAGAAACCCCGTGGACAAAAATGTGGGTCAAGCCCTCCGGCCAAGGTTCCATTCAACAAAGCCTCGTACCGTCACCGGCGATTTCCCCATCAGGGTTTTCCCCGACCCCCTACCACAAAAAAATCGGCACCGGTGCGGCGATACTCCAAGTTTTCTTTGCCAACGAATGACGGAGTCTAGAACCACTGAAACATGACCAATCACGAAAGACGGACAAAATCCAATCCAGGGATACCACTCTTTCCTCGCAGAAGCCGGTGCACGACTGGGGCCCAGGTGCGGAGGTACACGCCATTGTTCCCTCTGTGCAACCTAATGAAAGGCACTCATGCCATGGTTGCCATTATGATCGCTCTGGGCACTTTCTGAAGTCCCCCTTTTTGACCCGTGGACCTTACGACTACAAGTACCTCGTCAAGCATGACCCGACAAATGACCGAATGTGGTTTGAAGAAATAATTTTCCGATGGTTGCCCAATAACTCTTCAAGTTGTCTTTCATCCTTCAAACAGACTTCAGCATTTCCCTTGCAACCTGTCAAAAAAAAACAAAGCCCTCGGCTCACGCTCGCAGCGAGCAGTCTCGCGTTACACACACTACCGGATTGTGCCACATGCCTGAGTTGGCTATGCACGGTGCCAGCCGTGCCTCACCACTAAGAAAAAGCTCTTACGGCGCATGCCAAATTGAACGACATACGAGGCAGCGAGGAAGACAGAAATAAAATGTGTGCTTAGAGTAGGAGCCTGCACAACCAACGCAGCAAATCATGCTAAATGCGCTTAGAAGGAAAATGCCTCAAGTAAGACCCTCGATTCCCTTCGATTTGTGAACGCCGAACTCGCATCAAAAGCAGAGTTGGAATTGCTTGCAACATATAAGACTACTAAAAGTCTTGATGCTGCAAGTTTAATTCTTATAAAATAGAGTGCAGCAATGCAGTGAAATTCTGTCCCACAGCATCCTTTCAGAGAACGCTCGGCGAAGCAGACAAACAACTCGGTGTTAACAGGGTACTTGTTGCAGGAAACCTCGTCCATACATTTTCCTGGAGTCTACGCTTTGCAGTTCCTTGTTGGGCAATTGGTTCCTGCTGTACCTTGCTAGCATATTATGCAAGATCTACGCCATGCTTTCCTTCGTTCGTACACAATGCTCGTCGGTCGCCCATTCCCGATGCATCGGTTTGGCCGATAACTCTGCACTGCCCGAACTCCCAGGCTTCGGGGTCATCGATTAAACATTTGCCTCGATTAATCGTTGCATTCACTTTTCACAAAAGTCTCACAATTATCTAAAAAAAAAGATTGGGGTGGGTTGATAGGTCAAGAGAGCGTGCCAGCAATTTTTTTTCTAAGTAGTTTTGTCACTGCTTAAATTAGGATAGCGAAAGCATCTCCGCAGACACTTCTTCCAAATGTAGCCAGCGAATCAGGACCCTCAATGGTTTAGATACGCCACAGGGAGATGGATGAATGCTGTCAGTGCAAAGTCTTCTGAACTGTGGTTTGGCACGTGCAATCTGGCAAGCAGCTAGCCAGCAATACCAATTGATTCACCGCTTTTGAACAGGAACTCCTTCAATTGTAATGAAGGAAGCCCAATACTGGCCAAATCACCAAGCACAAACGCGGTATGAGCAGATGCCGGTCGAAGGGGTTACCCAAGGCAGCTTGCTACAGTGGTCAATGAAAAGCGGTAGGAAGCCTCAATATGTGACATTCTGGAATTTAGATAAATTCACGGATTGGATGAATGAACCAAGAATGAGCTCCCAAAAGAATTAGCATATTCACCTTCTCAAGCAATGTCCATTTTGAATGATCCATATGTCTTCTATGCTGGTTTCATCCCCATACCTGCATCTCTCACTTTCCTCTCTGCTGCTTTAACTGTCTTAAAGGGATACTTCAACGAAATTTGAAATATTCCCGTCGTGTTCAAAAATAGGTTGAATAGGATCCAAAATATCCGTAAATGACAATCGCGCGTTTGTATTTCGAGCCTGGTGGCTGTATTTTTTGTTATAAACGGCCCACTCTGGCAAGCGCTGGGAGAAGGCCCAGCGGAGACCACGTGACATCTAACGCAGTCGTGACGTAGGTCGTCTCAAGACGAGCAAAGCTACGGCGAGGCTGACGTCGAGAGGATGGCCTAGTCGTTCCAGCCACCGAAGCGGCTGCTTTTGTACGAATTTTGAGTGACGGGATAATCTTCTGTAATCTTGTAGGGGGACAATAGCGACTTCTGCGACACACAAAAGGCATTCTCGGGAAGAGGGGAGTTCCTCCTGCCCCTCTTCTCTAGTCGTGGCGGGAGACGAGACAACCTCTGTCACTAGCTGTCAAGATTCCTAGACGGGCATTACACGCGAGGCGTTAGCGACATCCACCAGGTGCTCTTTGCTAATCGTTTAATTCGTTTTAAAATTCCTTTTCGTGACTTTTTTAACAAGATATTGGTATGTTCGATGTGATGCTGCTTTTTTGAACACATACAGACCAAAAAATGAGCCCCGAAATTTCGTTGTAGTATCCCTTTAAGATATTTATTGCTCAGAAACCCTACTATTGCCCCAAAAGATTGATCTGTGTTTTCAAGTTTACCTCCTTCATTTTGCTTGAATAGCTCAAAACTCCTTCTGCCTCTTGTCCCTCATCCAATTCCCTCAGTCTATTTCTAACTTCCAATTCCCTCAGTCTATTTCTAACTTTTAATTCCCTCAGTCTATTTCTAACTTCAAAATCTATTTCCAAATCTCTCAGTCCACCTATTACTAACTTCCCTTCCTTCAAAAGACAACCACCCGATCATCTTGCACCCTTTAATACAATGCTTTACCATGGGCTCCTAAAGCTAGTGTATCCACCACAGACTGCTTTACTTCCAACCTTGATTGGACATCCAAATGCATAATAGAACAGCAGTTCGAGAGTCAAATTTGGCGCTATAACTTTGTTCCAAATCTCCCTCATCACTTCACACCTGTCATAGTTCCAGAAAGATCTACTTTTCATTACAGCTCTATTTCTGTTGCCCTTACCAGTAATACACTTTACACATATTTGAAAAAAAAAAAAAAACGGAGACGACAGTTAAAGAACAAACACACGTCTCCCAGAATTTCCACACGTCTTTGTGACCTTGTCACAAAGAAGTGTGCAGAGAGATGTTACATAAATGGTTATGCCAAAAAAGTTTTGTAGCCGACTTTGAGACATTTTGAGTTTGTCCCCTTCGTCCATCATCTATGTTTTTTTAAATATGTGTAACATCAACCAGCTCGCCTGTTTATTTACTTTTCTTCAAACACTTTACATGTTCACTGAGGTATTCTGTCCCATCCCGAATCCATACATCTAAGTACTTGCATTTACTGACCCTCTCAATCACAAATTCTTTAATCTTGAGCTCTTCACTTTCCTCATTGTTAAAATTCACCACTGTCGATAGGTTGCTACTGAATTCCAGATCTAATTTGTCTTCTTGCACCACAGATGCTAATTAATTCTAGCAGGTTCATGCTTTGTTAACCATTAGCACTACATCACGTGCAAAAATCCAATCTGGTAAGGACTCCAATCCTTGCAGCTCATCCGTAGTATGCAAGGTAAAAAACCAACACAACTCTTCCCAAACATTTCCTTCAATTCTAGTAGGTTCAACATGAAAAATAACACACCTCGTTTGATCTCCATTGGCTCCATTGCATTTCCTTCCCACGTTTTAAGTACCTCATTGCCTAGTAAATAACTCCCAAGAATTCAGCTATTCCAGCCTCCACAGATTCTCACAGACGACATCTACGTAAGCCTCCTCGACATGGATGGATGAGAGCTAGACGGCCCGTCTCCTTTTTCCGTGACCATTAAGGAAAGTAAACTTTTCAGCAGATTGTGGATGCATGGTGCACCCACCTGGGCCATGTCGTCGAGGCAGTTGAAGATGTACTTGCGGGCCTCCTTGGAACGCACTCCTGTCTCTGCCTCATGCTCCTCGGGGCTCTTGAGGCGCCAGAACGGGTAGTTGGAGTCTGTCTCCCGGTGGAAAAAGCGGCCCGTCTTGGCAGCACCATTGAGAAGGTGCTCCGCGGGCAGCCCTTGCGTTTGCGAGATGTATCGGATCTGGTCGTACTCCGAGGAGCCCGGGTACAGGGGCCAGCCGAGGAACAGCTCGGCCACCACGCAGCCCAGGGACCACATGTCGATGGCCTCGCAGAAGGGCAGCCCCAGAATGATCTCGGGGGCCCGGTAGTAGCGCGACTGGAGGTAGGTCGAGCACACCGCCTTGCTCACGTGGGAGGCCGACCCGAAGTCAATGACCTTGACCCGGAAAGGCTGGCGGACAGGATCCACGAGCATGATGTTCTCGGGCTTGAGGTCGGCGTGGATGAGGCCGAGCTGCTTGAGCTTGAGCAGGGCCGTCAGCACCTGCTGAAGCACGGGCCGGATGCACTTGAGGGGCAGCGGAGAGAACTTGTTGTGCTTGAGGAAGTCGTACAGGTTCTGCTCGAGCATCTCGAAGACCAGGCAGGTGTGCGACTTGTGCGAGAAGCACTCGAGGGCGCGCACGAAGTTGAACTCGTCGGCGGGCTCCTGGGCGAGCCGGTGCAGGATGCTCACCTCGATCTGTCCCTGGCGGGCGTACGACGGGTGGTTCTTGAGGATCTTGATAGCCACGATCTCGTTGGTACCCTTCTTCCAGCACTTGACCACCTGGCCGAAGGTGCCGCGCCCGAGAAACTCGAGCACCTCGTACTGGTGGGCGGCCGAGTAGAGCACCTCATGCTGCACCAGCTGGTAGTCGCCCTCGGAGGCGCTCGCTTTGCTGGGCGCCACGGCGGCGGCAGCGGCGGCCTTGCCCGGCACGGACGACGAGGAGCAGGGCTGCCGGCGCGACGCCAGCCCGCACGCATGGTCCGCCCGCCGCTTCAGCCGCCCCTTGGCCTCGCCGCTGGTCGACGACACGTCGCTCACTTGCGCCTGCGTTCTGGGACCCCAAGGCAAGACAGCGGAGTCAGCGCGCTGCCGTACGCCGCGACGTCGCCTACTTACGGGTACTCCAGCCTCCTCTTCTTAGCCTGGAGGCCCTTCTCCAGCATCCCAGGGGGGCCCTGCACGAGACACCGAGCTCAAGCGCGACACACGGCCCGCGGAGACCGAGCGGCTGAGCGCTGGGCGAGAGCACTCGGTCAGCGCTGCAACAACGACGCGGGACGGGCGGAAGTGACGCGTCTGTGTACCACAAAGGCGGGCCGACGACCCGCGATCGCCGAGACGCACAATCACCGAGGGACCGTTTCCCGGATGGGCCGGACGTGGCTTGCGACCTTCCATCTGTCCGCTCGCCCGTATGGCCCTATCCCGACATAGAAAACGGCGGACCCGCGGGGGCGCCGACCAAGCATATGATCCCCGTCCGCGTCATCCACGGGGACGGGGGGGAAGCCAACCGTCGCGGACAACCCGGGCCCGAGCGGCGGATCGCCCTCAGGCCGCCGTCGATGCGAACAAGGAAAAGCCGCGACGCGAAGGCTCAGCCACCCACCTGCGTCACGACGTCGAGGGCCGTCTCATGGCCTCGGACAAAGGGCCATACAGGGCGGCGGGCGCCGCGGTCGCGCACCTCTTTGGGCGTGCTCCCTGCCGGACCGGTCACGTTCAGCACGGCTGCCTTCGGTCACGTCGTACGACGACAGCGCAGCTCCATGGTCCGATCTGTCCCCGGTCGACGTCGGACGTGTCGTAGCACCGTGCCGGCTCGCTGCTGCTGCTAACGCAGCCGCTGCTGGCTCCCCAGGCACCCCGAGGTCCCTTGACGCAACATGTCTGCTCTCCCGTTTCACTCGCCGCTTCCTCCGATTTCCTTGGTTGTTTCCTCTGCGCAGCAGGCTGCGCGTGGTGCGCCAGGGATGTTGGAATCGAGACGGCAGCAACGGGCAGCGAGCACTGGCAACGCACGCGCACAACGGGTAACTTTATGCAGGGCCAGTAGAGGGCCAAGATGACCGCGGTCTGGCATTGGTTAGGTGGCGTAAGTCGCCGCCTAATTCAATGGGTCAGCCGTAGTTCGGCACATTTATCCACGCATGTACCGCCAAGTAAGTGGATTAGTAAAGAATATTGCAATCTTTTGTTACAGGCGATAGCTTGCGCCACCTAGCCTATGACATTTAAAATTCCAAATGTTTTTGGCAAACACCGAAAGCTGACATCTGTGAGCACTGTCCGTGAGTCGATGAGCGAGGCACGTGGCAATGTATGTACTGTACAGTACACTTGAAGTGGTGCTGACAGTTCAGTCTACTCCTACTGCGGAGAGCTATCACGTGCTTCGCTCCGTCGATCCGATAGGCTCAAGGGGGCCGCAGCGTTCTCTCTTTGCCAAGGCACGGTCCATTATCCCGTAATAAATTAATAAAATCGTATCTGCTCTTTCAAGACTGCTCTTGTGCGGTTGATGGCAACATAGCTTGAAAACGGAGAAAGTTATGGAAAGCATGTGGCAACGAAATGTTGGCGTGCACATGCTTACAGAAGCTGCGACTTTCGTACTTTGCCAAGTTATGTTGAAACCCATTCAGCATTTGAGACGTTCTCTGTGTCTGTTCCTTCTACTGAAAGTTCTTCCGATTTCTTCCACCGCAGTCTCAGGTGTAATACGACATGATTAGCATCCTTTCCGCGTCTCGCCCTTCGATTGTCTCCGCCCGCATGTCTTCCCTGCATAAATCTTTCTGCACATTGTTTTCATATCCTTGAAGCCTCTCTTCTGGCCATTATCAGTGCATCATCTAAATATGCTCTTTTCTCAGGCTGTCTATGCATTCTCTAGTGGACCATTTGTCCGATCCAGCCGATCCAGCATATACGGCTCTGCGATCCAGGGAAAAATCCAAAACTCGTTTTTTTTTTGTTTGTTTTTTTGTTTTTTTTGGGGGGGGGGGGGGGGGGGGGTGGGGGCGAAAAATTGTAAGGATGCTATTCTCCCATTCTTCCCTGTGCACCGGGGGGTCCACCCATGTCAAATTGCCCTCCGAGAAGGGGAAAGGCGGGGGGGGGGGGGGGGCGCCCCCCCCCTCGCCCCCCTCCCTCCTCCTCCCCCCCCGCCCCCCCCCCCCCCCCCCCCCCTTGGATCCGATAAATATTTGGTAGGAGACACGACTTCGTGTAGACATGAAAGTCTGCCTCCAGGCCTGAGCATCCTTCTCAGTGCAGCAGAACTTTCAATTGTGTAGTTTTCTCAAAATACAAACAAAAAAAGTCAACAGCGAACATGTGCGAGAAGGGCAACATTCCGACAATCGCAGCACACGTTGGCTTTAGCTGGACGAAAAAGGCACTCCAGTGTAGTAAAAGCAGCCGAGAGATCAGTACGCATTAAAACACTAAAATCAGCGGTTTAAAGATGGCCTCTTCATCACTTAGTTGAATGCCGCACCAACATTTTCTTTTAAGAGCTGCATGGGGCCAGGGACATTGCCAATTTGAGGGCTTATGGGTTGGAGGGCGGGCTTCGTGCTATGTCACCTTTCTTCCCCTCTCCCAGGTCGTGGAGGTCCTGGCCACCACAGCTCACCCCCAGAAAAAAATTGCAAAAGCTTGCAAAGCCCTTACTCGAAATACCCCCTGTGTAGAGAAAACCCGGCAATGCGGCGGGAAAAGCAGACACAAGGAGCTGCTTCCTTTCTGGAAAACTTTATTCAAACTGATTGCACTTCTAAAATACTAATCCACTCCCTGCGCCGCTACGTGGCAGTCCTCACTCACAAGGTGCAAGAACTCGCTCCATTTCGCGAGCAAAAAAAAAAAAAAAGAAGATGCTGCACCAGGCCCAAGCGTTTCGAGGGTCACCAGCGCCCTTCGATCTTCGCAGACTCGCGGCCAGCTGGGGACACCTGCATCCGAATGGCGCACGAGAGGGCGTGCGAGAGTCGAGTTTCTCTTCTTCCCGCTAGGAGGCGGCAACCGAAACAAGCGGCCGCGGCTCAGAGAGACAACCGGGGCAATAACTTACGCTCCAAAAGCTGCGGAGGAACGGTAAAAACGGTAACATAAATAGGGTGTCCCCTCGCGTGCGGTGGTGGCCGCGGGGGTCGTCAGCACTTTTTGGGTGGCTTGACCCCTCGCTGGGTGAGGCCCTCGAAGCGCTTGAAGGTGTAGTTGATGAAGACCCAGTCCTTGTATCCGGCCGCCTCCTCCTTGCTCGGTGTGGCGGGAGGGGCACAAGCTGCAAAAGAGGCGGGGTGTACGCCTAGAGTCGAGACCCGCTGCGGGTCCCGTACTTACGGATCTTGAGGTCCACGTCGGGAAAGTCGTCGAAGTTGGACGTGTCGTCGATGCTCTTCACCTCCATGGGGATGGCGGCCGGCCGCTCGCGGATGTGGTCCCAGTCCACACCGCGGAAGAAGGGCTGCGCCCGGATCTGCGGCAAACCCCCCTGGGCCCCGACGCGGGCGTCGGCCTCGGAGCAGAACCCCTGGACGAGGCAGCGTGCTTCCTCCGAGATGGGCACCTCAGCGGGGAACACCAGGGTCTCCCGCCAGCCCATCACCTTGCGATACGTCTCCTGAGGAGTCTCCGAGCAGAAGGGAGGGTAGCCTGCGACCGGAGAGGCCTTGTGACTAGAGGCCGCGCTGCCCGCCTTGCGCTTGCAAGAAAATGTGCGCCACGATGTGCCGTGCCCCCGGCCCTGGACGAATGTCCTATCCTACAGTGTGCACTGCTGTTACACCTCATGCTAAGCCAAGACTCTCGTTTCTCAATTTGCACCTCTTTTGGATGCTTCTTGGCTACCGACTCCTCTTCCTTTTCCCTTTGCTGGGCTTCCGAGGGTGCACTAAGAACACCGGATGAGGCACACTGCACGATATAATTGTACTCCCTTTTTGGTGTAACTTGACAAATCGAGAATTCTATGGGCCAAGCGAGGCAATTGGAACGGCATAGCGAAGCAGATGACAACTTACTGTCGGAGTGCACTCCTCTAGCAGGGAGCCCACACGTGCTCCGCTCCGTCACCCCGATAGGCACATGTGGGCCCTAGCACGTGATCCCTTGCCAGGTTATTACCAAAACAAAGTATAGGGGAAACGCGACCTCTGGTCCTTTTTGCATTGTACCGACATAGTTGAGCGTTGATCGTCAAATTTTACCACCCAGGTAGCCATACCCCACGGGGATTCCTTTGGCCTTGTACCGGCACCTGCGTTTGTGGCAAATGCTAGACCATTGTGAATTCGTCTATCACATCAGTTTTCAGCGTCAACCTTTCAAACAAATAAATTAGCTATAGCCCGTTGGAGGTTGAGAAAAGTGGAACAAGCTTGTCGCACAAAGTCCTCCACTCTTTCATCTTAGATGAGCAAGCGCTGGAGAGGAGAAGACCACCAATCATGGCAAGCAGAGAGCTTTGTGGGAAAGGTTTGTACTGCTCTTTTTAATCTGCAACAAACTATGTTCATTTCTGCTCGGCATTTACCTTTAGCACAACGGCAGCCGCAAGCATCAAATATAGCCTCACATAAATTTGAAACCATTGTTACACTTGCACCCCAGTCATTCATACCTCCTGTGCAATGCCACCGCTAGGACTCGCGGTTGCCCCAGCTCTGTGCAGAGCCGTGCAAACAGCAGAGCCGTGCTCGAGCAAGGAAGTGTGGAGGAAGTCACTCACCAATGAGCATCTCGTACATGATGACACCCAGGGACCACCAGTCACACGAGCTGCTGTAGCCCGTCTGCAGGAACACCTCGGGTGCAATGTAGTCCGGCGTGCCCACGGTCGAGTAGGCCTGCGCATGGGCAAACTCGCCTCAGCCCCTCGCACCCGTTACCTAAATTATTTGTCAGGTCTGGTCAGACGTACCAGCTGTCTCCGGTTCTTCTTCCAGCTCTCTGCCCGACGCTTAGAGTCCATTGGATTCGACGCTGCAAATAGACAGCCACCGGTCAGCCGTGCCTCGGCGCAACTGCCTCTACTGCCAAATGCTGGAGGAAGACATTTTCAAACACATGATGCTGGATCAGTCGGTGAGGTTAGAGTAACTGTATAGGCACTGCTTGTAGAACCAGAGTATCACGTTCGTCTCCTTTGCGCCACAAACTCCGTATTGGCAGAGAAGCGGCCATGTGCGCCAAACTGGATCCAACCTTCATAAGGGAAAATGACCTTGCAGGCGCCGAGTTTCGGGCGGAGCATATTTCTCTTTGAGCTTGCAAAAAATACATCCTACACTAAAATCTAACGAACTTGAAGGTTCCTTGACCATTGAAAATTATGTGTAGCCACTGGGTACAGAATAATCACATTGTTTTATAACTCGAGAGATGTTTTAAAACATGTTTCCAAAGTCTGGGAAGCAGACGACACAGAGGACGATCATGTTGCTTGCGGAGTGATACGTGACCGGCACATCCGGGCACTTTGGACCAGACAACAATGCATTGATACGGCTTTCGGAGGGGCAACGTATTCGTCGGCTACTATGTTTTACAAATGCCATAGGAAAAAATAGAAGAAAAATAACGAGATGACGGCACCTGCGTGGCGTATCGCCGCACTATAGTTTCTCTGCTCCGCACGCCGCAGCATGCTGCCGCACAGCCACTCCGTCCGTGCCTCCGGACCTCCTGAATAAGCAACGGTCGCTTTCCACAGTGTGGCCTTAGATCCAACATGGCTGCCCCAGGCGCACCATTTCAATACTCTGTTTCACAAGCGGAGCATATGCACTTACTCTAGGCGAGGTAGCACCTCGAAATGCGAACGAGACCCTCTGCCTTGGTATCGAGCCGCGTTTGTAATGGGTGGCCTGCTGCACGTCCCCTCCCATGCCAAACTGCACCAGGGCTCGCTTTCAGGGCTCCCGCAGACATAGGACATTCAAGATCATTACAGGTCCTCGGGAGCACAATAAAGTATGATGTGCTGACAACACTGCTCCGCAGACAACTCCTCGAGTCTTTTTCTGATGTGGAGTGCAAGTTTGTCTGCTTTTTTTGCAGTGGTTGTGGTGACTGCAGAACACCAAGCTTTGATTGGCTCTGATCGAAGGATAGTGGGTAGACCTCAAGGCAGCTTACTTTGAGGTGTACCCACTATCCTTCAATCGGAGCCAACCAGAGCTAGGCGTTCTGACGTCACCACAGCCCATGTAAAGGAAGCAGACAAACCCTGCCCTTTTCCTGGGTCTGCTTCCCTCAAAAACATAAATGAAGCTAGCGGCAGCCTCCACGGTGCATGAGCCTCGTGGACCAGTGCAAGCGACAACTGCTGCTCTATCCTCTGCAACTGAAATGCACTATGATACTAAAGGGGGGAGGGGGGTTCATTTGTGAAGGGGGGATACTAAGGCCCCGGAAACTGACATTGGGAATCAAGCCCAGTCATGGGTGGCCCGTCGGAGGGAAAGGGAGAACGGGATATGGATATACAGCCTCGCGGCCCTGTGGACAAAGCAGCAAAGCACTGTGGCCCCTTCTAGGCACGAATCGTGAGCTCCCGTCTAGGCCTGCCCCAACAACGTCTCATCTGCGCAATGAGCCGTTATGCATGCACCGGACTAACACTAATTGATCCTCAGGTACAAAACACAGTACAGTCAATTGTACTGGTTTTCTCCACACGGCTCGAAGAGCCTGCAGGAGGTAGTGGCCCCGACAGAGCGACTCACTGAAGTCCGAGGGCTTGGCCTGGGACAGGTCGCGGTAGAACTCCGTCCGGTGCGACTTCTTTAGGCCCGTGCACAGGCCAAAGTCCGAGAGCTTGATGTGTCCCCGAGCATCCAGCAGCAGGTTGTCCGGCTTGATGTCCCGGTGGATGAAGCCCAGCTTGTGGATCGAGTCGATGGCCAGGGCCGTCTCGGCAATGTAGAACTGGGTGCACTCTTCTGACAGGGTGTCCTTCTTCATCAGCAGGGTCATCATGTCGCCGCCGGGAAGAAACTCCATGATGAGGTACAGATTGATGGCATCCTGGAAGCTGTAGTACATCTTGACCACCCACTGGTGGTCTGCCTCCACTAGAACATCCCGCTCGGCCCGCACGTGGGCCACCTGCTCCTTTTCGAGCATGTCTGCCTTGCGGAGGATCTTCATGGCGTACACGTGGCCCGTGTCACGCTTTTGGACCAGGCGCACCTCCCCGAAGGCGCCCCGGCCAATCACCTTCAGTGGCTCGAAGTCCTCCACGCCGAGCCGGGAGCGCTTCAGGCGCAGGAACTCCGTCTCCTTTAGCGAGTGCTGCTGCCGCTTCTCCCGCTTCTGCACGCGCAACAACACCATGTCAGTTGTCAGGCGGCACCCTCGGTGTATGTGCACTAAAGCCCCTAGATGTGTTTGTTTTGCAAGTAGCGTCAAATGCGCAAGTGCTCAAGACCCGTGCCTCGTGCTGCCCTTGGAAGCGAATGGCGAAGGAGCACTCGTTTGAGGCACGTGTCTTGTGCGTTCCTGCAATTATGGTTGGCGGCACTTGTGTAAGAAACGCAGAGTGAATTTTATTGAGGAACTTCACTGCGCACTTCCAATCATTGATGATGTTGATGGTTAGAGGTTTTATGGCATAAAAGGCGCTTCACACTGAAGCGGACCACGAAAGGTGCAAGGCCTCCAGCACAAGACACACCCAAATGCGTGGTTGGGATTGCAACTTCACAGTAACTCGTGTTGCTGAAGAAAAAACACTTAAAGGGACCACGAAATGGCCTCGTTACTTTTACCAAATAAATTTACATTAAACCTTCAATGTTCGCTGAATGCCGAACAGGCATCCGTTTTCGTTTCGGTTTTTTAACTTTTATACGAAAAATTATTGAAATATTGAGTTTTTCTTCCTCTCCAACTAGCAGCACAACAAGCCATGGCGTGATTTCGATGGTCATGATGTGCACTGGCACCGGAACTTCTCTCGGCGTTGGAAGAATCGGAGCGTTAGCGGAGAGCTGGTGGTGTGCCAGTATCGTTTGCCACAGGGTTTTACTGCACTGATGGCACATATGCAACCGACATATTTTCTGAATTGGCGCCCCTCATCACAGTGATAGCCATGGACACATCACAGCTGAGCGAAATTCAATTAGATATGTCACACTACAGCGACAGCATGGGACCACCCACTGGTGGTCCCTTGCTGTCGCTGTATGCACGGATAAAATTAGACCTGGCGCCTCTCAGACCGATAAGCCTTCACCAAGTGCCTTGAAGTGGTTCCTCAAGTGGCAAGCAGTGAAACTGCAGTCGTTTCTTTTTAAGCTCTGGACTCCACAAACTGTAATTCGGGCACTTGCAATGAGCACGTTAGCAACGACTGAATCCATTGCAACCAGAACAACCGCTCTGCTCCGCACGTACACACTCCTGCATTTACTGCAACAAACGCAGCAGGTCGTCAGCACGACGGCTGCTGCGTTTCTAAACATCTCTAAAAAGCAGGGGACGTGCTGCCACTCACAGGCATAGAAGAAAATGCAGGGTTTTCTACGGGCTCAAGCTTTATTAACTTTTATTTTGTCAGGATAGGCTCGCAGAGCAGTGGGGATGAAAAAAAAAAAAAAGATGCAGTACGCCGTCTTGGACGTTTGCAACTTTAACACACGACTTTACCGATAGTACAAATATTGCCACATGCCTTTTCTATGATTGCAAAAGAAGATGTAATCTTAGCAGAGATATAGCAACATAGAAATATAATTTCGTGATCATATAGACGTTGCAAGCATTCAGGAATGCTAACACTTATCACTTCTCTCGGATGATGAAAACGCACCCAAATTTACATCCTTCATACATGCCTTTAAATACAGTATGCACCAGTAATACCTTGAACTTGAGCACACGCATGGAATGAGCAAAATAAGGAATACGGGTGACGTTCCAGGGCAGAAACGCTAAGGAAGCACCGCTGTTGTCGAAGTAAACCAATACGACAGCACGAGCGTCTCTGCTGTGTTGAGGGTGTCGCCACATCGCCACACGAGCAGATGGATCTTCCCTTCTACGACGTGCTGGGTTATCATCGCGACACACGAGAATTCAGAGAAAATTAGCACTCTACACGGAACGATGAGCTTCCACCACGCCGAACACGTCAACGGTCACCACCAACACAATGTTTTTCAGCAGTGCGGGAAGCACGAAACTGGACAGGCACAGCATAGCTCCGAGCGTTATAAAATTCGTCAATTTCCGTCACATCGCTAATTATTTGACAAAATGTGGATCAGAATATTCTTTAACAAAACTTTTAAGAAACATTCGCCGGTTATTTATTGTGTATGATCGCAGCACTGGTGAGGTAGGCTCTTATCCAATAGGTGACGTGGATTTGGATGACATGCTTTGGCCCCACAAATGCATTGCAGGGAAAAGGCAGAGAGGTTTCGAAGGAAAGAAGATAGGAAAGAGTCCGACTCTTCTTTCAGAAGTTCTATAGCGAAAACTTTTTTGTTTTGGCTCTCTATTTTTGAGTTTTGGTTTTATTTTCACACCTTTTTTTTGACGTGCGGTGGATGAAATTCGATTTGAAAATCGTTTCATGGTCCCTTTATGTAGCTGCGTTATGTGGTCTTTAGCAGCTCCAGATCTTTGTGAGAAATGCAGTGAGAGAATTTGGAACGGAGATCATGTAGCCACATTCTGACATGGGAGCAGTGGCGTCCCTAGGGTCAGAGGCACCCCGGGCGATGGAATTCTGGATCTGGTTCGCACCTCTCACACTGCCTTTCTGTGGAGAATGAGCGTTTGGCGATGCACAGTAAATTTTTGTGATGAAAAAACCTTGTAAAGTTTTTGGGGAGACACCCTGTACATTGCAGCAAAAAGCTGCGACAGTAATGTGGGGTAACATAACCCTAGAAGATTTGCACAGTGAACTATCGTGTAACTTCACAACGCATAACATGCTGGTGTAGGTGACAAACTATAGAGAATATTTGTTTTTAAATACAGATAAAAAAAAAAGGATCACCCTAATATGGTTATTGTCATCATTGCATGTTCATCAGGTTTGGACAAACAATGACCGTCAGGATAAGTTGGAAAATTAACTAAGATGTACAAATTAACTTATTTAATGACGTTAGGGATTGAATTGCAATTGCAGTTTTGAGGGTAATCATCCTTAGTAGCTAAATCAATTTATAGAACTTGTAAAAAGGCAATGAGCATCAAGATGTTCATAAATAAATATTTATAAAATAAATATATGTATAAACATAAATAATGAATGAATATATTTAATGACGCGTAGAAAAGAAACAACCTTGTGGCAAGCACCTCATCATAATCTTGCAACATGACGGCTGTTGAAGTCACTGCATCCAGCTTCAGCACACACGCTCTTCATGTCCCAATGGTCAGGGACCTCGATACATGTGTCGTCAGCGTCCCTAGCGACCACACGCTACAAAGACTTTGACAAGGTGCCTACGCGAGCCCGTCCCTCTTCTACGCACGCATCATTGTGGGCAGGGCTTGTGGCACTCCTTGCACACCCATTTCAGAATCGGGCAACATGAACCCATGAGCCAACAATGGCCCTTGATCCACCTGGCATTCTCCATGTGGCGAGACTGCTCTGTTCAGAAAGGTAGCTCCACAGTTTGCCACACATTCTTGCGAGCATCCTTCTGTGAATGAACTGGGCTTTCAATGTGTCACGCTTGTGACGTGTGTTTCACAGTTAATGCTTGTGACGTGTGTTTGCACAGTTACTGCAAGCACCCGCAAGAAACGCGATTCCCGAACTGTTCAGGCTATGACTGTCCTTCTCGGAGGTCAACTTCACAGCGCGCTCAGTGCTACGTCCACAGGGGCAAGTGAAGTGTGCAGATATCGCGGGCGGTATGTGTACACACTGCGTACCTGTTCCTCGGAGAGTCCCTCCTCGCGCATGGTTTCCTCGAGGCGGTCGTGGCGCCCCTTGCGCTCCAAGTGCTGGCTCACCAGGTTCGAGTAGTAGTTCTCCAGGTGCACCTTGGCCTTGGTGGCTTTGTCCAGCGTGTGGCCGCTCAGGCGGGACCCGCTTTCGGCCGCCGTCGCCATGCGCCCTGCACGCGAACGAACCTCGAGCAAGCTGCGGCCCGCCGATCGCCTCCGCGAGGCTGACGACACGGCCCGCACGTCACGGAGGCACGCGCCAGTCGCGCCAGCGGGCCACGGACCCCGAGCGCGACGTCTACCTAGGGACCCGCCGAGACAGCATCGATGATGCCACCGAGCGCGATACGGTCAGGGATCTGCCGGACGCTGTCAACGCGCTGCTCCAAGGACGCCCGGAGGATTGTTGTGACCAGGAAGGCCCGCGCGCTGGCCGCTCGGCATCGAACGGGACAGCTCGGCCACAAAGCAGGCCCAACGGACCAGCGGAGGTAGCGGGGGGGTCACCTACCTTGTCCCGGTCCTAGGTGTCCGTGGCAGCGAGGGCGCGGCTGGTGGCCGGCATTTTCTGGTCACGGGTCAGGTGGGCCCGATGGCACCGTGCACTGCTGGCAGATGCTACCCCTCGCGTGCGCAACGATCGCCGATCCAGCGGCAAACCGCAGCAGTGGCCGTCGGACCGCCCGACCAGTTGTTCGGCTCCGACCACGGGAGAAAGGAGCAGCTGTGCTGACGTCACACAAAGTGGCGTACCGACGATCAGGTGGGTCGAAAAAGCGCGAGAAGCCGGCGTTACGTCATGGAAGGGGTGTACCGGGTGTACCTATGGGGTGTACAACGATGGGGTGTAGGAAAATATCGTCCAAAGCGACGGGAGTTGATAACCATTACTAAAATATTTTCTAAAAACTTTTATAGGCCTGAACACCTTCACTATACAAGAAAAACTAAAACAGTCATAGATAAAAGTCGACGTATTACAAGTAAATGTATATATATACACCTAAGGTCTTTAAATTGGGCGGAGGCTTGCGCCACCTAGCCAATAATGTTTTAATTTTGCAAGACCGCAGCGCTTTTTCTCAACTGAGTGCGTTCACCTTCTCCTCTAGTCCAGGAAGTGAATAAAACCATTATTCATTCCTCTCCAAACGAGAGCGCGTTGTTTGCCTCGACCGATCGACCGACAAGCCCCGTGCGATGTTCCCGATACGATTATTACCCTAGCTGTTTACTTGCGCGGTGCGCAGTCATCGGTACCGACTAGAGTTTGGTTAAAGTGAACTGGTCAACATCGCATGAGACATGCACCGTCAAATAAAACTTCTAATTAGTCGGACAATGGTCCTTTAAAAATCCCTGCGCCCTCATCTCTTAGGCAACCGCAGGGTGAAGTCATTTACAGCCAAATATCATGCAGCGAACAGGGTCGAAAACCGATAAAGAACTAGATCAATATTAGTTCTGGCATCCAACCGAAACCGGAAAGAAATTGGTAGGTATCTAATATAGGTTTTACATCAGCACAGACTTGTTGCCAAATAAAATCGAAGATAACGTCAGTGCTGTGGTGTGTTCATGTTTGTGTCCATCTTTAGCACTCTCCAAACTTACCCAAACTTCCACCGTAAAAAATATACGCATGAGCTATTCCTAAATGCTACATTAAGGGAAAATTTAGCTTCAACAGGAAGTCTTTCAATTAAAATGTGCTTCGTGCAACATATTATAAATTGAACATGTCTCTCTTGGTGCATGTTTCGCTCGCAGTAGGGGCAACCTCTCCATTTCTCTTGGACAGATGCAGTGCGCGCACAACTTGTGTCCATAAAACCTCCCTCTTACCTTTTGGGCATACTACACAGCCAATGCTAACTTCACTTGCTAATTGACAGGACATGGCTCCATCAAGTTTGCACCAGTCCAACTTGTCAACACTTCTCCTTTCTGTGAGTGGAGAACGTGAAATCGGTGCGAGTGGGGTGGGATTCGTCCAAGGCAGATAGAACTAAAACCCACCGCCAACATTGTGCTAAACTCGGAAGCATACTTTGCACACATCGCCTGCACCACTTAGGGTTCAGATTTTGACTATCATTTCAAGTCCTGCAGAAACGAGTTTTTGGGCCTTCTCCGCCGTTCCTCGCATCAATGCGTTTCTGAATCGAAACACACATTCCGGGATATGACGCAGCTTGGAATAATTAGGAATACCTTCGTATCTGACAAATTCTCGAGGATATTCCCTAAATGCCGACTACCCTTCAAATCAACCGTTTAATAGGAATTGCTTTACAGCACGGGTGAATAATAACACCTTTTTGCAATCGAATTGTTACCACAGCACGGATGCACCGCTGTGAAGTGGCATTCGCAGCAACGGTGGTGTGGCTCTTCTGCAGGAAGTGCAGAATGTTCTTAAGCCAGGTTTGTAGACACATAGTTTCAAATTCTTAGGATACTGTAATCCTCCCATGCTTTAAGCTAGAAACTGCACCTTGACTATAACAAAAGTATCGGAAACTCTGCTGCTGCAATGCACCGCTAATATGGGGAGTGGCAAATTGTATTTGCAGTCTCGACAAAAATATAATACAGCAGGAGTGGAGACTTGGGTCACGATCGTTTCTTCGTTCCGCCAGATGGCTGATTTCGCGCTTCAGCGTAGATTGGGCAGAAATTTCTGCCCCAGCGTAGAAGTGGCTGCTGCCCCTGCTGTCGCCCGTTCCGTCCATCGGGTTCTTTGAGGCCCATGAAACGGGAACCGCTTGTGGGAGGCACGCCACTTGCGGGAGACACGCCACTTGCGGCACTGGAGAAGTTTGTTTTCACGTGCAGAGCGAGCCCAGACGTGGGAGGGCAGGGTGTGCAAAAGGCGCCACCTGCTGCCTCCAGTGGAACGCACCAGGTTGCGCGTGAACACTGCACAGAAACTCGAGGACAGTGGACTCCATGAAGCTCGAGGTGTGCCAGGTAGTTGCTCAATGATCTCGACTCGGGACATCGCTGACCTCGAACTCCTACGTCGACGTGCTGACGTCCCAGTAAAATCACATGTACACCACGTAGGTGGTCTGGCCCTCGGTGGCCATGTTGGTGTCCAGGGTCACCGGAAAGCCCTGGTCTCTGGCTGCAAGGTCTCCCGCTGCCAGTGCTGGGGAGGAGGCATGAGAGGGCCAAGCTTTAGACCAGTGCCTGGGCGAGTGCAGACTGGCAGATGCACAACGCTCGGACATCTTTTGGTATCAGAACACGCTATTTTGCCGAAACCGGGCGCGTCGTCTGCTCGGAAGCAACGTGACTTCTGATGCGAATAGTGGATTTTGAATTCGAAGCGAATGGTGGCTTTGGCCGAATATTTTTGGATCGAATATCACATAGTTTTTCAAGCCTTTCACCTTTTTGCACCACGCTTAAACAAAAACCCAGCTGAACTCGCAAAGGCCGTTCCCGAGCTTCCACTCGTCCACTTTTAAGCTCGGTTAATTTTAATATAGTTACCATAAAATACCAGGGGAGCACCAATTCCACTTTTCACTGAAAACTGGGAAAACTGCACTGAACTTATAATTTGCATAATTCCCAAGTTTGGGGAATGTTAATAGTGGGTCCATGAATGAAGCGGGTGCTTCCAGGATATTTTACGACATAATTATAAATGAAGGCATGCAAACGGCAAATTTGTTTGCTGCTATCCTAATTGAGGGAATTTTTAAATCTGATTGCTATATGTAAATATTCTTTATTCAATTTCTAATTTGGCAAAAAAGTGAATAAAACAAGCAGGAGTAATGAACACGGGTTGTCAAAACATTGCTGCCTACCATTAATAGCGAGTTTGTTTCACTGCATCGGCAGCGCGGAGCAAGTCTGTTCAGGGCAGCATTCGAATTGAGCATGCACTAGAATGCAACCCCGTCATGCATCGCTCAGGTGAGGCAAGCGAGGTGCGAGAGCAGACGACGGGGATTCGTCTGCTACTGATCTGCTACAAGATGCCATTCGCGTGAAGTGCAACAAAAGAAAAAAAAAGGATTTTCTTCCAGGAATTGCGTCCTGCAAGAGACGGGATTGAACATGAGCTTGAATTAAGACTTCTCTGCTATTTCATTAAGGGAGCAACCAAAAACCCATACTTTCGCAATTTTTATGTAGTTTTGTTGCCGTACGGTCGCTGAATTCTACCGATGAGTAAAAGGGCTCGGAACAAACGCAGCAGCGGCCGCGAGATCTTCCTCACGGGTGTACGGGTGAAAAGTTATTGCCAAAATATGGCCTATTGTTCACTTGCGAACGGACATTTGTCAAGAAAGCCCGCCCAGAGGAACCTGCGATGCGTCCAATTAGCTGCCGAAAAAGCTAAATATGGCGATTTTAACCAACTACCCAGAATACAATTTGCGGCTGGAAATTTGTTTTCTTTTTGCCCGGAAAGTGTTGATCGAGAACTGGCTAATTTGAGTCGCGCTCACCCTCTTCCTCATGGTCATGAGCCGTTTTTTATGGCAACCACCAGATATAATCAAAGTCGTGTGTCACGGAAGGCACACACTCAATATTAAAAATAAAAAAAGAAATAAGATACCCATTTTTCGTGCTAAAAAGAAACACATGGATTTGTAAAAAAAAGAAAGTTGCACAGCTACGTGATTTTAGGCAACGCTCTCCTCTATATTTCTTCTTCCTCTCCAGTTCGGTTTCGGTTTCCAGCAGTGGCGTTTTTTTTTTTTACTTTATTAAAGATATATGTGATGCTATAGCAAAATACTGATTGGGTAGTCTTCTGACAGAATGTTAAACTGCATGGCAAAAACTTTTTTTTCTTTTTTTGGGGGGGGAGGGGGGGGATAGGGGGGTATGTGTCACTGTTGTTTTTTAAGTCATTGCAAATGTAAACATTACAGCGACCACACTGTTTCGTGTTCCCACCCGTCATGTCAAACAACAAAGCGCTATTCTCGGTTTGAGGTCGGTACTCTTGCTACAACACGGATGGCAACAGCATCAGTTTTGACTTTTTGCACTCGGCAAGTTTTTTCGGGGCAGGATCTCCGTGCAGCGCTCAGCGAGTGCAATGCATTCTGGGAGAGAACTCACACGGTGCCAGTGCGTGTGAAACCGATTCGCTGTAACATATACTCTTGCATAATCTTGGCGGGTTAGCCCCGTTGAGCGCGCTTCTCACACAGCACCTGTGCGCTGCGGGGAAACCATACCCGCGGAGCCCGCATGTTCCGCGGGTGTTGCTTCCCCGCAGCGCACACGTGCTCGGTAAGAAGCGCACTCAACGGAGCTAAACCGGCACGATCAACACTTCGAAAAGTATGAATATCGCAGTTCATCTCGAAGCGAATATCAAATAGCGTATTATTCGAAACTACTATTCGAATATACGCACAACCCTAGACTGTAATATAAAATAAGAGGCAGATAAAGAGAGAGAACACTACTTCACTATACCTATATTTTGGGGGTGCAGAGGAGAGCTGCTTCAGAGGTATCGTGAAACGTTTCTGGAATGCTAAGTCAAAATCTTTGTGCCTCACTTAGAAGCACCTGAACACTCGTTTACTCCTGTAGAGCCATATGTAGTGCAAGAAACATTACATGCATGGCTTTAGCAAAAACCATATTTACAGGCAGCAGAAAATGCCTTTGCAGTTGACAGGAAAGAACACCTGTCCGGTATTAACAGAGAGTTTTAGCAAAAAAATAAATTTACATGAGCTTTGTTTTTCAGCTTTAGTTTATGGTTGCAGCAAGCAGCACAAATTAATAAAATAAGGAATGAATCCACCGCACCCATGACAGCGATCATTGATATAGAGAGAATGTAAGCTATGCGAGCATAAACAACCGGAGAGAAGAGACGTGGCATTTGGAAGGCCAAATTCAACAAGTTCTCAACAGTCCCCTCAGTTTCCTGCAAGCTTTTGAACATATTATTTTGTGAAAAAATATTGCTCTAAAAAAAACCCCTGAAAAGAATTTTTTTTTTTTAACAACCTAGCTGGGACATGTGTGTCAAAAAACATTTTGTGCGAAAGAAAAACATTTTTTAGAGCAATATTGACGGCGAGAGATTCATTTAAAATTCTGTGCGTCCGTGATGTCACTGGTCATTCTGGAATGACCATCTCGATCTGTGCGTCCGCTCCACCTCTCTTCCACGCGCCCGCAATGCCGGGAAAGAAAACAAGGGGAAAGGAGGTGACTGCAGACTAAATCGCGTCTCACGCCGTCAGTATTGCTCTAAAAACAGTTTTTTTTTTTTGCTTAAAATTTATTTTGTGACACGCGTGTCCCAACCAGTCTGTTTAAAAAAACATTTTTTTTTTCTTCTCAGAGTAGAAAAACGTCCATATTTTGCAGAAATTATGATTTTCGGTTTTATTATCATTGAATCTTCATATTATATGTATAAAAATAATAAGTGCCAGTTAGGATCACGAATCTAGTCAAATATGCATTTAGAAACCTCCTGGAAACCCAGCACAGCGTAAATGTGAGCCATTTTTCTGTGCATGTGTCTTTAAATTGTGACGCCGGCCACCATCAGATTTACGTTTAAAAGCCGTCTTCTCTCTACTGCAGTCTTTTGTGGCTTCAATTTCTTAAGGAATATTATTACCAAAATATCCTTTTTCCTGCCGCAAAAGAGTACTGCCAGGGCCGTAACCAGGGGGGGGGTTAGGGGGTTCTGACCCCCCCCGAATTTTTTTTCTGAGTACGGCCCTGGTCGGTGCACTTGCAGCCAGCCGATTTTAATCTCCACCTCTGCGCACGCGCAGTGGCGCCGGTCGGCTACCGGATACCAAACCGGGACCGGTTCTCCGGTTTGCTGCAACTCTCCATTATATGCCACCGATGCACATGATTCGTAGGCGAAAATAAGACAATAGACACTTTCAAAATGGCCGCCGTTGTCCACGAAAACCCCCCCCGAAATTTTTTTCTGGGTACGGCCCTGAGTACTGCGACACATCTATGGTAACATTCCAAAGCATTTTTCTTTTCAAGTAATTCTGGAGCATCTTCACAGTCTGCAGTCACAGTTCTAGAGCGTCGTCACAGGAACTTTTGTCTTAAATAATGTTCTGTCACAACCAAATTTGGCATGCATATAGTACTTTAGAAAACATAGAATGCCACTATTCAAGTTTGGTTAGAATGTATATATTTTATATTTATATAAAATTTAAGACTTTTGCCAGCGCCTTGGAAAAGTTTATTGTGATTTCTGAAAATTTTAAGATAAACTAGTAAGTCTTGTACACATTATTTTTTACACTCATTACACTCAGTGGCTTAATAGGATTGAAATTAGTCTATTTTACTAGGCCCTTTTAAAGGAAGCTGAAGAGGTTCTTGAAAACACTGAGTTGGAGGGAAATTCTAGAGTATTTTTATCACTTGAATCTGAATACATTTAGTTTTCCCCGAAGATGTAACTGAACGCGAAAAAACACAAAAAACCTCCGACCGGTCGTTACGTCGAAAAAGGATCTATTGGCCGCCAAGCGCGTGTTTTTTGTGTGGGCAGCGTGTGCATTTGCAAGGTTGCCAGATGTATTCCCCCACATTGACACAAGTTGTGACGTCTTTTTTGGACCTTTCTGAAAATAGCGAGTGTGCGTGCATAGTCTTGATAGACGCTGAAGATGTGAGGGGTCGGAGATTCCGAAAACTCCTTTTATGATGTAACGCTCGGGGAAGGAGGGGCTTCAGCCATACTTCGAAAATAATTTTCTGCAGCCAAATTGAAAAAAACACCTCGATATCCATGATCCTGAAGGCCAAACGAAGATGATCTAAACATTGTAAAACCCAAGACTTGGGACAAGAAAAGGAGACAAAAAGGGGACAACACAGATTGAAGTGTTTTTCCTCCCATACAAAACTGCTTCAGCTTTTTTCTTTTTTCTTTTATGCTGTGCTTTTTTGCCTAACGTGTCCGCCAGAATGCGGCTTTTTCTGCGTTTGCATTGCCTCCTGAACTTAACAAACTATATTGCATATAACGTCCGATTTATAAAAAGGACATCAAGCACTATAAACCGTAAAAATTTCAACTGGTTATTTAACAAATAAAATTTTCTTCTCCCTGTGGGGCAAAATATGCAGCTCCCTTGGAAGGAAGAAACAACCCTTATTAAAAAAAGCTCAACTGTCTTCAGTGTCCTTTTAATTTCCGCATCATTTCGGTTCTCACACGAGAGCCCTAGCAACGCACAATAGCTTCAGCAACACATGCGAGACCCCTAGCAGCGCACGATTGCTTCAGCAACAAATAAATGTGACAAATAAGACATGGGAGGCACTCACTTGATCGAACGACGTTTTAGCGAATGCCCACGTTTCACCAAATGACACTTTAGCGAATAGTCGGCCGCCGCAACGCGGCATTTACGGGTAGGCCAAGTGGGTTCACGTTTTTGTAATAAGCCGTCGCAGACTGACCCCGCGGAGCGGCGTAAGTGCAGCGTGGGGGGTGTGTTAACTCACGCCCCCGATATTCGGTAAAACATTGATTTGCTCAGATATCGCTGTTCGCTAAAGCGTCATTTGCTCATGTGATATGGACCCAAAAAGACACTGATGCACTATACTGGTGAAATACTGAGCACACTGCAAGCCTAGGATCTGTCGGCTCGTTTCGAAGGTGATTGGGTGTGCACCTCGAGCGGTGGTTAGGCGGTGGTGAGCAAGAGTGACTCACCAGAAAGGCCGGACACCGGCTGCAATCCCACAGCTTCAGCTGCTGCTGTGGCCACCTGTAGGATGCGAGGGACACGGCAAGGCGAGAAATGCAACTCTCCGACACAGTCAACCACAACAAAAGGCATCGTCTTCCATCCCCAATGCTGCAGCATGCAAAAGGGAGGAGCATGCTAAAAGGAGAAGGATGTTTCAGTTTTGATGCACCGAACGCATTTGCACTATTTTATTGCTGCGGTGGCCAAGTTCGTACGAAAACTGTACCTAGAAAGCAAATTGCATTGGTTGCATTTTCGTACTTTCACCGACTGGTCGCAGCAATGTAAGTGGCCACAATACGCGCTTTCTTGATCTCGGAGAGGGGTGCAAGCGTGCTCACAAGCAACAATCAGCACACAGAAACATTGTTTCTGCAAGAAGAGATGCTCCTTTCTACTGGCAGTCTTTACCCTCTACCTGCACTAGCTTTGACATTGTCGGAATAACCCGCTTGCATAAAGAAACGCTTTGACAGTGCTAGTTTTTGACAGTGCAATTCACTACACAAGTATAGACACCCTTTGAATGCGCGTCTTTTGGAGATCCTCCCTCGAGTGGCTTAAGGAGCACGTGGGAAAGTGTTCTGGGAGTGTCCAGCGAATGCGCAGGGAGCGTCCGGTGGATGCGCCAAGACTATCCAGGGGCCGAGTGGGGAGTGGGAACAGTTTGACGACTGTGCAAGGGAGTGTTTGGGGAGTGTCGGTGCTGCCCACCTGCACAGCCTCTGCGAGGGTAGAAGGCTGGCCGGGTGCGACCTCCTGGTCGAGCGCGGCATCCGGCGTCGCGGGGGTGGACGAGGCCCCCGGGTCCCCCACGGGGCACGCACCGCCCGGCGCTGCCGCGGGGTCCATGCCCAGTTGCCGCATTTTGACCGCCACGTCAAACAGGTAGTCGTAACATTCGCACCTGTCCGGGGAGGGAAGAGGCACCGTGCCACACCGGAGGTAGCTGGGAACACCGAGGGAACGCTTACATGCTCTTGGCCCGCTCCCACGTGTCCCCCCAGACGTAGACGCCGTGCCTGCGCACCAGCACCGCACACGTGTCTGGGTAGCGCTCCATTGCCTCCTTCATGCTTGCCTGGGGACGCAAGAGCACATGTCTAGAATCACTCTCGACCGTACCTGGTCCCGCCAACTCCATCCAGGGCCAGTGGGAGCCGTACAAGAGCCACGGCCATGTGGCTGAAGCGAGCCGTGCTAGACGGAAGGGACTTGCCTTGAGGTCCCGTTCAAAAGGCACATTCTCGATGATGGGAACCACCAGCTCTTCGTCGTAGCGGTAGCTCACTCCAGACTGGCCCTTCTTGATGCCCTGCGGGAGAGACAAGGAGCAGCGGATTGGGTGTCATGCTTACTGGTGGCTCATACTAATTGAAGTGACAATTGCTCAGTCTCCATTTAGCAAGAGGAAAGACTCGTAGTACGAAGCTCGATACTTCTCTTTCTGTGCAGTTTCTTTTCAACTCTGATGATTGAAATTGGCACAGCCGTCGCAAGGCATCATTCTACTCTGGTACAGATTTAGGGCCCACTATTTGAAAGCATTCTTTTAGCGAAAGCCACATAGCGAACCAGTACAGTTTCTCCAGTTCTAACCTGTCGCTTAGTCGAGAAATGTACAACATGACCAGAAGGCTAGCTTATGAATCGTAACACAGTCATTCTCTGGGGAGGCTGGACAAAACGATGGCGGGGCGTCACCTTGATCATCTCTTGGTGGGTGATCCGGAACTCTGGGCCCGGGCAGAGGAGTGTGGCCAGCACGGCTGCCTTGGAGTGCGTGTGGATCACCGCACCGGCACCTGCGTGCAGGTACGTGGGCACGTGTCGAGAGCCTCCCGCCGTCTCAGGTCAAATGCTCTGCTGTACGTGGCCCCAGGGTGTGTGCTTGCGAAGTCACCAGAAATGGTTCAGACACGCTTGTCTCGCAAGTGTGGCATTGTTAGCATTTCCGAGGCAGGGCCACTTTCTTGCACATAATTCATGAGACACCCACAAAGAGAAAGAAGAGGCTGCATTTTCACGATCCGAAAACAACCGGGCACCTTAAAGGACTACTCCGGCGATTTTTCGAGCTACCCCAGGTAGCTATATTTTCAGAATCACAGGCCCTTACCCTTTCCAAAGTACGATTTAGTATCGCAAAATTCAGAATAGTTATTGCGAAGCCGGCAAGTAAAAACTATGCCAAAACCAACATTCTAATATACCCGCCCTTTTTAGTGCCAGGGGAAGGCACGCCTGCAAATCCAGCCGGCAGACTAAACGTGGACGTGCTGCTGCCCAGGTGCTGGAGCGAGCTTCCCAAGCCTTCATTTGACACCATGAAACTGCTTGTAATCAGTTGGGAACAAAGTCTGTAGTCCAAAGGGTGAACCCCTGCCTTCCCCTGACGTCACTTTTGCATTGTTGCCAGTAGAGACTTTCACTTTGAAAAACATGGTGAGGACCAAATCTGTAAATTTAATAACTTCGGGGGAAAAAAAAAAATTTTGGCCCAATATTTTGTTTACTATTTCAGATATGTTTGTAGGTGTGTTTAACAAATTTTCAGGCAAATCGGGGACTATGAAGGAAAAAGCTGGAGTACGCCTCAAGCTCAAAAGGCCAAGGAATTGAGCTGTGCGACGCAACTGTGAACCTCACTGCCAAAAGAGGAGAATATAAAAAGAAGCAAATTAGACAATAGATGTAAACAAAGGGAGGTCGGTCTGCCTTTAAGATGTGGGGATACTGGTTTATGCCGCATATAAAAATTTAACCTAAGCCTAAGCCTAAGGTTGGTAACGCTCATCGAGCATACGGTACCAATGTACATACGCACACAGGTTCAAGATCTGTCGAGATTGAAATGGGCGGAGCGGAGATTGAGGCCAGGATCCCCAGGTGCTGCAGTAGGAGCTTTCAAACCACGTTGGTTTGAACTGTGGTGCACAAACGCCACCTTGCCCATCCCTCTACATCAAAAGAGTGTGAAGATGTGTTCCAAAAGGTTCCCAAGCTACATAAAATGGCAGCTCCCGGGACAAGTGCAAACTTTTTATGGCCTCCATTTTAACTAGCATGTCAAGGAACAGACTCGAGCGGGTGCAGGTGCTTAGAGCGAATGCGGGCAATTCTGCCGATTCGTTTCCCGAGCAATCTGGTTTTGGCGGCAAGCTAAAATACGAGCTCTTTTGAAAAATGGCAAGACAGACGTCAAAGAGCCCATTGGCTCAATGTAACGAGACCACGAACGCGACGGGTCAATAAAACAAGGAGGAGGAGAGAGACCCACCCCTGAGGGTGTAGGCGTTCATGAAGAGAGGGGTGCACTCGCTCTTGCGCAGCTTCTTGTGTGGGGGTGGCCCCGCCAAGAAGCGCTCTTCCAGGTCCTGCACAAACAGGTCCTCGGGCTGGATGCGCTCCTTCTGCACCCCGGAGGGGGCCACGTAGATCTCCTGCCTGGGGAAACACAGGGGTGCATGGGGCCTCAGTACACGCCATGCTGGGGGCACCTCCCACGCAAAATGGTGGGAACGCACAACAGTTACCATTGGCCTCTATAAACACATGGACCAGAGGTGCCGGAGCTATGTGGGAGATGGGGGGGGGGGGGGGGGGGGGGGCGACTGAGAGAGGGGGGGGGGGGGCTTGAGCGAGATTTTCTTTGCTCTCCGTCGTATTGTTTACGTGGAATTTTTTAAATGTCCGGGGAGGATATGGGGGAGCGATTACACTCCCCCTCTCCCTTTCTTCCTTCTCCCCCTTCTCACCCCCCCCTCCCTGTTTTGACGCCATTCTATATTGACTTGGTGGGAGGGAAGACGGGGCCTGACAGTGCAGACGCAACGAAGTGACTCGCATCTAGTCTTCTGTTCCTCGTACGCTTTTTATGCGGTATGCACATGAGGCAAATCCTTGGGATTTCTTCTTGGACTGCACACCTCACAACAAAAATGTCCGGGTAAGTGGCAACGGCACTGCGAAGCAGTGCCGTTGGTTCCGTGGCGGAGGGTCGAGGGAATGCCTGGGCGGGCGGCACAAACAATCCCTCTATGGTCGCTGACCAGTTTGCTTTTAAGAATATTTTGCTGCTAAAAGTTTAGTGCCCCATGTTTAAACTGCTAAATTCATCTGTGGCGGAGTTAGAAACCGCTAAAAACACAACCCTCGCACCGGCATCTCGTTTGTGTGAACCGTGGACGTGGAAAGCTTCTGGAGGCGTGAACAATATAAGCCACGCCCTGCATTTCTTAGGCCGTCAATGACCACATAGCCCGTTTTCCGACGATCCAGGTCTGGACGTCGTTCGGAGTCGAGTGCCTCGCCAGGTCGAAAAGACTGTGGAAACGCGGCCAGTGTTAGTGGACCCACCCGAGACGGATGCTCATGCCCCCTCCGGTGCCGGTCACCCATCCCAGGTGGTAGAACTGGCGGCACAGCTCTGGAATCAGGTTGCGGGGGTGCTCCTGAAACAAGCAGCCGCTGTTGAGGGCGGGTGGCACTTTCGGCTTTGGGAGCAACATGCCGCCGATTGAAGTTCCGCCCCACCATTTTATGGCTCGACGAAATTTTAACCGCTGGTAGCCTGTGTTCTTCTAAAAGTGCAGTGTTTACATAGCTGGGAGAAAAGTTAACTGTATCTTTTATTTTTCATCGCAAAAATAAACTACGTATCTGCCAAATGCGATCGGTATCTGCCCAAATCTAGCTGTAGCAGTTGGAACCAGAATGCCAAGTTTTCAGAACCATTGTGATTGAAAGGTTATAGGTATAATTTATGGAAATTTTCGAGGAGAAAATGGCAGTCCACAAACAAAGCCCACAAATAAATGTAAATAAACGGTGTCCGCTACCGCAAAAATGCGCTCCCCATTTTTTTCTTAAAAAGTTGTAAAAATATTGTTTTTGTAACTTTTGAGTCGGGTAACGAGAAGCTTAGAAACTTTGGCATCCAAGTCCCAACCTCTAGTGCTACATTTGATTTTTGAGATAAACATTTTTCTTTCCTAGACACAGTGATGGAAGTGGCATTTATCATTTTTGTAGCACGAAAATGATTGGTTTCGAGCACATGAAACACACTGTCTTCTTGGAACCAGAGTTGGAACCAGAGTTGAGTAAAAAGTTTGCTTCTATTTCGATTGACAGCTGCACAGCAACTCCCTTAAATACTGTACTCTTTCAAATATAACCCCGCATTCTTTTTTCTTTCTTTTTCCTTGTCGGCACAGCTTCTTAAAATTAGAGGTCGACCTACAGTCAAAACCAAAGAAGGTCGACCCGAAATAGTACTGAGCATAGTTTCTGAGCCAACAGCGCCAGCCCAGGCGCTCGTCCATGTCAACCACTCCTCCTAGCACTCCGGTGCAAAGCGGTGAAGGTTGACGCGCGCACTGGAGTGAGGCGGTGATGGTTGATGCAAGCAGCGCAAGTAGCCATGGCATGCAAGCATGTGGCAGTAGAAGGCTTTTTTTCTATGTTACCACAGTAACAACCATCCCACTATTTTGCAAATCTGTTTTCGTACATTTTAGCTCCTCACATTGCCGACATCGTCTGAAAATTCAAAAAATGACGGGGCCAGTGCAGTTGTCGGGCTATCTCTATACTTCATTTCACCTTGAATCAAAGTGCAGCCAACACAGACCCATCAAACAGCGTCAAAAGCGCAACATGGTGCATTCGTCATCTTTCCACAGGAGGCAGTGACAAGCAGGCATGAGCTCATGCGCACGATTGCCCCTATTCACTTTTTCCACCTCTAACAATATATCTTTATGTATGTGTTCTTTCATTGGCTAAACCACTCAAGCGCAGGAAATGCCCCGTGAACTGTGCTGTATGTCCGCTGATGGTTGCATATGTGTTCGAGCCTTGGATTGTACTCTGACCTAAAACGAAACGAATTATATCGTGAGTAGAGACGCTGTGAAATACATATTTGCACCGGTTACCTCTGATTCTACCTCTAAATATTAGATTAACCTATTCTTTTTTTTTTTTGCTTTGTTTAAGCTTATTACGGCGCAGGTATGTGGCGTAATTCTTAGCATAATTGACATTTTGGCTCAAATTGTTGCAGAGTTTTGTTCTTGGCGCATTTTGGCACAAATGGCGCAGCACTAGCCACCACTGCAGACACCTCTTAGGTATGAACAAGGCGACTTGAAAGAGAAAGGGAACCCTGCAAGCGCAGCGATCACATGACCGTTTCTGTTTGCGATAAATGTCCGAGACTCTCGGATTACCACGGTTCTCCCTCGCGAAACAGCAGTCGTGGGTTCCCGACAACGTAGAGATTTCGCGTCCCGTCAAAGTTGCCGTCGACACACAAACGGGCCCATTCGACAGAAATGTCGATCAATCAGAAAACCGTTCGAACGGAACGGCCCCTCACGTGCCGCAACGCGCTGCGCAGCGCTAGTTCCCTTTACAGAGCCGCGGCTGCATCTCTCGACCGACGCAACCAGTGCGCAGAGGTCACGGGATCCCGTTACGGCTCGTGCGGACGTAGAGCCATCAAACCTGATCATGTTGCGCTTCGACGTGGCTCGTCGGGCCAGTGCCATTTTCACCGGGCATGACTTGCATCGGCGAGTGAGGGGGCGACTTCCACGATCAGCTGATATCTCCACTTTAAATGGAAAGGAGTCTGTAAAGCGCCGGGAGCCGGCGTCCCCTGATAAAACATCTGGCGGAAGTACACTCGGAATGATTTTTTCTAGTTTTGGTGTTTTGTTCCCAGCACATTTTCTAGTATACAGTGTACTCGTACCAGCATATCGGCAAATTCGTCGTAGTCATGGTTTCGAAACCTCTCTAAACGTAAATTTTACTTTTTTTTTTTTTTTTTTTTTTATTCCCTCCGGATATGCCTCCGGATATGCCTCCAGATTACGCGCGTTCGCCACGTAAATAGATCAACGAACACGGCTAAGCTCTCCCCGTAAGACGCTGACTCGCGCCACCTAGCCAGCGTTTACATGTCCATTTTGACACGGCGCAGATTCTTGCGAAAACAAAGCAGACTTTTACCCCCCCCCCCCTCCCCCCCCTTTTCTTCTTTTAGTGTTGTCCGAATATTTCTTGCCAGTGTTCTTCCATTCTGTGGCAATGCCCCCTTCAGTCGATCCACAAATTATATTTCTACTGTTTTTACTGCTCTTCCCGTGTTGCCCTTCCGCCACCTAATTTGTAGTTCTTTCATTGTTCTCCTCCTTTTTCGAATCTCTTACCACTTCACGCTTGTTCTAGATTCCTAGTGCCATTACGGTTGCATAAGTTTCATGCTCATTTGCCCATTCATACCCCAGGAATAAAAAAGCTGCCTCAAAGTCAAGGTTTCCCTAAGCTCCCCTAAAAAACTCGTAGGCACGTTAAAGGCAACAAATAACATCAAGACCTACAGAAATAACTGTTACTGCACAGACGAGCTGGGAGTGACCATAGTGAAAATAAAACCCCTCGAGACTAGGCACAAAAAATGGGACAATACAAAACCGTTTCAAAGTGAGACGTTGGTGTGTTGTCCCATATTTCCTCCCTAATCTCAAGGACTTTTTTGTTTGCTCTTTCGCTATGATTAAGATTTTTATTTTTAATGGCATTGTTGCATTTCTAAATGTCTTCTAAACTCTCCGAGATATGTTACAGAGAGCTCCTTGCCCTCTGTTGACTGTGTTAAAGAAAATAAATTGTCATCCAACTTTCTTTGTATTCAAAACTCGTTTTGTTGCTTGATGGCACTGTAATGGATGGTAGCTGCTGATGTCAGTTTTGTCTCCTTACCTATAGCTTCTATTCGCGTCTCCAGCTCGACGCTCGCCCTCCCACGGCGGAAACGGGAAGCGCTCTAGTGAGGGTCCCCCGATTCTCCTGCTCAGCGGGCATGGCGGAACTGCTCGCGATCATGGCTCGCGAAATGTCGTTTCCGAATGCAAACAACACTCTTCACTGTCCCAACGTAGTGCTGCAGCCGGTATGGGATTATACCTTACTGGAGAGTTTTAGTATTGCACATAGAAGCAAACGCAAGCGGTGTGCATTTGCGTTAGAGTTGCGTGCCCCATGTTGTGCGTGTGCCTCATCGCCATGCGCCATCCAAGACCGCAATTTCGGGCTCCGCGCACGCGCAGTGTGGAACGCGCAAAGCTAACGCAAACACAGAGGGCTTGAGTTCGCTCGTATACGCAATATTAAAACTCACTACTGTTTCACCGGCTTTCAACGCCAACGAAATGTGCTGCAGTGAGCAGACGTGCAGGCAGGTAGGCGTTCCTTCAAACTGGAAAGGCTGATATTGGCAAAACGACGGCGAGCAAATACAAAAGTAAATAAATGTTATGAAAAAACTAATAATTAAAAAAAACTTTTTTTTAAACTTTTGGGCATTTGCTCTGGAAATATATTGGCGGCGACTTTGGACGTTTCGCCGATTGTCAAAAGTCGCGACTTTGATAGCACAATATACTTTACCCACAATTAATGCAATTTTACACGGATTTCTCACATTAGCTAGAATGTTTTCATGGATTTTAGACTATTTTTATTTTATTTTCCATTAAAATGCAGCAATTGGAACCAGTGATGATAATTAGCACTGTTTTCAGTGTCATATTTCTTCGCGCGTTTAAAATTAGATCATAAGCAACAAATTATATTAGAGCTTGAAGAATTACTTATTCAAATATGTGAATTTTAATATTACTATTATTAATACCAATCGCGGCAATGTATGCCTCTAATTAACGCTAAGATCACGAGAATACTCTATTTAACCATAATAGTCTTTCCAGAAAGGTATAATTCTGTTTTATTTTGAGCATATGAAAAACTCTGACATAGTTATCAAGATAGACAAACAGTTAAACGCTGGATGTAATATGAAATCCTACGCGTCACGCGGTGCTATAAAAACACACACACACACTTCAGCTGTCTGACTCGGATTCCGTCTTGGGTTGTTGCAGTGAGAGCAGCGTTTATTATGCGTTTCGTGGACATATTGTAAAAAATGGAATTATTCTGTTATTCTTGTGCTGGGATAATTTTCATTATTTCCCATGACAATTATCTGAGCGAGAGAAAGGCAGCGAGAACGCACAGATATCAGCACTGATTTTTCCAACAACTACGTATATCAGCCTGAATCGAACAGTATGTCACAAAATAAAGTTTCCGCGAACAACTTTTCTAAGTAAATAATTACGATGTGAGACACATGAGTCATGAAAGAATCCGAAATTAAGACCTCTATCGAGAAATTAAATCCAAAATAGAGGTAAGTTTCGGTTTCGCTCCAGAATTAAAACGCGCATCCTTCCGTAAATAATACGCTAAACACCGTTCCTGTTTTCAGGTTAAAGAGGTGACCTGCGCTCATAAAACATTAGCTTCCTCGTATTACCAGAAATAATTTATGCCGCTCAGTGAAGCCAGCACACTAGACAGGCTCAACAGCGGCACGCATCTCTGACCCTCACTAAACCCGCCATCTTGGAAAATGAGTGGCGCCACCTATAGTTAGTTGGAGTCGCGAATATTAAACTGCCTCCATTCTTTTGAGATAATTCTTCTTACCACAATTTTGTTTTCTTTTCCTCTTAGTTTTGGTGTATATTCAAAACCTCACATTTTTGCTGAAATAACTAGGACGCAATTTCTGATCGGCTGTATGCCATTAGGAATCCCCTGTTCTACATTTTCCTATTCCTTTGCCCAAAAACTGCAATTTTACTAAATGGGCTCTATACAGTATATGCTCCTCTGTTCCATTATCTCCTATATAACTTTGCGAGTAAAATTTTTGTCATCACTGCTCCTATAAGGTTCTTGCACGAAACCATGGTGCAACACTATACTACCGGTTCGTAAATCTCACCGGAACCCGCTGGAATTCATGCTGGAGGCATTCGTCGCTGATATTCTATGTTTTGTGTGCTTTGAAGCCGTGGTCGCAGTATAGTTTGTCCGCCCACTTGAGGTTTAAAATGATCAGTTGCGCCATAATTAATTGTTCCAGCCATAAAAGTTAGCGACAACGAAGCTAAGGCCAGCAGTATTGGTTTTTCTAGAATTCTGGAAATCATTAGGAACCAGGACAAGGCGATGCTCGAGCAATCGGTTCGTCGGCGGTATGAATAGCTTCCGACGAATACATCGGCACAACCTCGACCAGGCGCATAAAGATGGGAGCAGAACAAGGCAAATCCTGGGCGCTGTCTCCGGTCCCGAGAAAAAGAATGAGAAAGAAGGGTTAGGCCTGTTAGTTTCGCCGAACAGGTTGAAGTTGCTCAAGTGCTTGTCAACTTTATTTAATTTTGTCAATGTGCGATTCTAGTGTTCTTCTGCAAAGTATGAGAGAAAATGACGAGGTACAAACCTTACAAGTGATGGTTTGCTGCTTCTTTGTGAATATTAAGGTGTCGCCAGCGGTATCTGTTCATCGAGACCGCCAACTGGGACCGCTAATGTCTGTGTCTTTTCCACGCCGTTCCAACGTGGAGAAATACATGGGACCTTTCGCTCTAGATTATTATATTAACTCTATGATCTCGACAGAAAAGCACCTTACCCCAACTAAGGGTTTGTGGACTGCACTTCGTGTCAGGCGACAAACCTCTTTGCAATTGACTAGGGCAAAAAACTATTCTGAAATCTGGTTATACAAAGATGGCTCTATGACTCTACGCCAAATGTTTCCAACAGGGTGTGAAGGCACTGGTAGCAGGCAACAATGTTGGTTTCTACCTCGAATCTAGCCGGAAGTGACATCAGGTGCGAGAAGCCTATATGTTGCATTGCCCAACTGCCTTTGGTTCGATTACCTTGAGGTGCGTTGATGAACCACTGCTTCTCCTTGTTTTCCAACTGTGCAATTTCAGGTGCTTTCAAAATTTCCTGGCTGATTTTCTATTCTTGATGTTTTTCACTGATCAGACAAGGTTCCTCTACTCCTTATAAATTCATAACATGTCCTGTTCACTTCAGTGTCTCGTTCTAGGTACGGTGGAAGCTTGTTACCACAGAGAGAGCGAGATGGCACGAGGGAAAGGAAAAGTGGACAGGGAGTAATGTCAGCAAAATAGGAACCAAAGGATCCAGTGCTCTCCGACTGCAACTTTGCTACACCTTTCATCGGGGACACTGGCCCTTCCCAAGCTTTGTTTGCACCTTTAGCTCAAATACAGTTGATGCCTTTCGCCTCTCAACTGAGAACGTAAAATTACCCTCTGTTTACCCATTCCACATTTTCCACTCTAAGAGCAACGAATGAACTCCTCTTGGAGCACCACAGTTCCCTCCCTGCCTGCCATGTCTACGGCAGAGTATTGCGGACAAACAGCACTGCGCCCTGCCATGGCACATCGGTTGATAAAGCCTTTACCTGCCAGTTGGCGAGCGTGGGAGGGAACTGGTAGGCCGTCCTGGTCTCTTGGTCTCTAAGCTTCTGCGCGTGGCTCTTCGGCTTGGCCTTTCGCTTGGGCGTCGGCCTGATGAGCAGCACGGGGAGGCTGGCGGCCGCATCGCCCTTCTCGCGGGCCTCTGCGATCGTCTGGTTGCGCACTTCGTTCATCCGTTCCTCAAACTTCTGTCGGATGTAGCGCCGGTCCTTGCCCACCTTCACGTTGATGCTGCGCTTCACGTGGTGCTGAATCAGCGGCAGCGGAAGCTCAAACAACGATTGCATATCCTTTTGGATGCTCTGTGGACAGTCTTTCCCGTGCTCGGACACGTACTTGAGGATTACTTCTTCGGCCAGCGAGTCCGACAGCAACGCACGGCCGTTGGTCAGCAGGATACCCTTAGCAGGTCGACCGAGCTGCTCTTGCAGCTCCACCAGATCTGAAAGAAAATAAGAAAAATTAGACCACCCTACGATGGTGACTCCTGTAGCAGACGGTGACAGCCTAGCAGACGCGCTCTTCAATGGGTAGTATTAGGGCCGAGCCGTAAGCCTAGCTCGGCACTCGCTTACCCACAAACTCGCGCCCGTGAGTCCTCCAGTACTTCCTCGCCTTTTCGCTGACGGTGAGCAGGCTGGCCACCTTGCCGCTCTCCATCTTCTCTTCCATGAGCAGGATGATCTCGTCGTAAATGTCTTCGGCGATGGGCGGCTTGCAGCGGTCTCGAAAGCGCGCCACCCTCTGGGTCACGATCGCGTCCACCGTCTGCGCCATTTGACGGTAGTCTTTCTGCTGGTTGCTCGGTCGCAGGCTATAGTTTGACATCGAATACGACGCGTTCACTGCTTAGAGACGGGTTAATTACAGTTAACATGCCATCTTTTTGGACGATTGCAGCAAAAGTGGGGTTAAGGACAATACAAATGGCTGCCTTGTTTACCCAGGCTGTGTTCCAAAACTTACTCGATCCGACCCCAGAGTAAAGGTTTCGCACCGTGGCGTTTCAAAACTTACTCGAGCTTACTCGATGACGTCACAACTCGCGTTTCAGAAGCGGGTTGTTTACTCCGGAGTAATTACTCGCGCTACCCTCCTCGATCGGAGGGTAACGTGGGATCAATCGAGTAAATACGTCACGTGATCTGCTCGTCGTCTGCTTTCTGCGCTAACAGCCGTCAAAGCTCGTTTGCGTTGTTGCGTTCGGTGACAGATTGCAAGAATGGCTGAGAACTCGACGCCGTCGTTTTTGTGCGGTTATTGCGACATGTCTTTCTCAACTCATGAGTTAGCTGTGCAACACATTCACCGCGTACATCTTGCGCGAACAGGTATGCACATATTTCTCTGTAGCGATTTCTCTGCATCCTCGCTCTCAGCGTTGGAGTGAACTCGCTGTTCATGCTTTCAAGATTGAAGGCGTTCGACACTGACCGGATTACTTAGTTATTAAAAAGGAGACGTCAAATGAAGCCCTATATTACAGGGACCCGACGTTTCGAGGCCTAGTCGGGCTCTTTTTCAGGTGTGACTGCATGAATTTGCTTTGCTCTGGATCATCTACTTCTTCGTCTAGGGTGGTGTTTTTCTTTTTGCATCGGTGACGTGACGAAGCCCGTTTACGTATGCGGATGGTAAAGCACCGAGGAATCTGTTGATGTTTCATGGCGTGCCTTGAATATGCCAGGATTCTAAGAAAGTCTCTGCCGGGGATTGGGTTCAATGTCGAGGACGAGGTGTACGTTTCCTCGGTGATGTATAACTTGGCTAGAAAAGAAAAAGAAAATATCGCTGACGAGGCTGTCACGCGGCAACAGACAATGCCGTGGACATACATTCTTATTTTCTAGACTGAGAAAGTTGCACTGCCAGTTTTCTCTGGGTGGAATCGAGCACCGGAATTAACGCACCTTTCGCCCGAGGTGTATTTGAAGGGCACGGAATTTCGGTATACTTAAAGACAATGATTGCGTAATGGTACAGAGCTCTGACGAAGAGCGGAATTAGTAGATATAATTTTGTATTCAATCTATACACAGCCCATGTGAAGGCTGAGCAAGACGGGCCACCTCCGAAACAGCCAGCTGAGAGGGAGGTGTATGTTTATTGGGCTGAGGACTTGTACGTTCAAGGCTGAAAATAGTCGAACACAGTAGATAATGATGATGAAATTATGAAGTAGATGATAAACATGTTTAAAAATCGCGCACAAAGAGACAAGAACAAACGAGGAGTGCAACGCAGACAGGCACGTCTGTGTTCTACGTTCCTTCCTCGTTTGTTCTTGTCTCTTCGTGCGCGATTTCTAACCGTGTTCAACCTTTACCAAGACGCCCAGCTTACTACTTTACTATAAAGATGCAAGTATCTTTTTTTTTTCCATAGTAAGCATAATAGCGCTTGTAAGCAGTGAAGGCTTGGAAAATTTTATGTAAATGATCAGTCAACATGCGCCCCCCCCCCTTTTTTTTCCCCACCCTAAAAAAATGCCGTTCAGTTTTAAAGTTCTCTCTGTGATATATTTTTGTTTTTCAGCGTCAAAACTAAGGTAATTAAGTTACATATTTCATTGAGTACCGCTACACTGCGTGGAATATGATTTTAAATTTCCGCAAATTGTAATCGATTCAAATTATGATGCGGGGAACGCATATGTATAAGGCACCTGGAGTATAATAACAGCGATTGCTCTAACTAATAAAAACAAATGTTTGATGTCTAACTGAAATGAGTTTTGATCTCAATATGCAGTTCAAAAGGAAGCTGACGAAGTGGAGCCGGTGGAGCCACCTCCAAAAATATTGACGCCAAGCAAGGAGGCGTACGTGTATTGGACACGACCAGCCGTACTGGCCTTAATCGAACGATGTGCCAAGATGGAAAAAAAAAGTAATCCTGTCTCCAGGACGTTCTGGAAAGGGTAAAACGATACATTTTCAGGTATTTTGTATTATCGCTGTGAAATGAAGGAAATGCATGCTCGTGCCACAACTGCGTAGTGGCAATTTCCTCTTTTTTTTTTTTTGTCTTTTGTAGCACGCATTTTTTATTTTATTTATGTTTTTAACGAAGATAAGGAAAATATGTCTTTGCTTACCTGGGACTAGACATCTACAACGCGTAACATTTCACACGAGCATGTCTGAAGATGAGAGATGTTTACAAAAGTCAAAATGTTTGCACTCATAGGGAACTCGCCGGTTTGGTGGGCTTGCTTTTAATATAAAGAGGCAGAATGTCAATTTTGACTACTATTTCAGGGAGCGTTCATTTGGACAATCCGGTCACATGAAACTAAATTGGTGGTGATTTATTTCAGGCTGGCCGAGACCCTCAATGAAATGGGGTACCCAGTCACTGAGGACCAGTGTTGCAATAAATGGAAAAATTTGAAAAAAGCGTATAAAGGTGTTAAGGACCACAACGCCAAGAGCGGCAACGACAGGTACGTATTTCAAGTCTCCATTTTTATATTTCTTGAGTGAGATTTTGATGAAATCTTTCAGCACTGTATTAATCTCGCAGGAAGGATTGGCCATTCCTCAAGGAACTGGATGAAATCTTCGGGCGAAGGCCGGAGGTGGTCCCTCTGGCTGTTGCGAGCACCTCAGCTGGTCTGAGCGTCAGGGAAACCGGAGAGGAGCCGAAGGCGGAGTGCAGCCGAGGAAGCAAGAGAAAGTCGAAACTCTCGGAGTCACATGAGTTGCTGTCCAAAAAAATGGCCTTAGAAGAAAGGAAAGTCAAGGCCCTAGAGGATTTTAATTGTTTTTTTAAAGATTTTTTAGAACTCAAGAAAGCAGAAAAAGCCAGAGCGGAAGAAGAGCCATGATGTTTGAAACTTCGTAATCTAGATTTTAATTGACGAGCAAAGAGCTGCAAAGATGTGTTCACCTTCAATGTTATTTATTTTGTGTGAGTGTGTGAAGATATAAGTCAGAATGATTAACATGTTCGCGTAACCACGGGATCACAAAGAAATGTGAAAGTTCCAACTAGTTTTAATTAACAGTAAATTGATGAATACATAAAGAATAAAAAAAATAGGTTGGTCTTCTATTCTTGTTAATAAACATGAACTATGTACATATATATCGGGGCTTCACAGGCTGTGCATGATAAAATCTCGCTTTGCCTTGCCCCTGGCCTTGTCGCGACTCGCCGTGGGTGCGTCGTCTTCGTCCGAGGAGGACCCACCGGACTCGCTGGAGTCGCTGTCCGTACCGTCACCTGCAAGTCCATCGTCCTCGGTGTGTAGGGGACCGTCGTAGATGTCGCGCCACTCCATGCACGCGTTGTGCATGACGCAGGCTGCCACAATCGTCGTGACGATGCGTTCTGGGCGGCGGGCTTCAATGTACTTGAGACGTCGGAACCGCCCCTTGAGAATCCCAAAGGCCCGCTCTATAGCCACTCGCGTTGTTGCGTGTTTTGTGTTGTAGTTTCTGTGCTGCTCAGTTAGCCGGCCGTTGTTCCTGTAGGGGACAAGGAGGCTTTGTCGCAGCGGGTACGCGCCATCTCCGAGCAGGTGGCTGTCGAAGGGGAACTTGTCCGCAGTCAAGATCGTCGGTAGCTCGGACCGCCTGTACATGCGTGCGTCGTGCACGGACCCGGGATCTCCTGCGCTGCAGTGAAGGAACTTGGCCTCGTGGTCGCAGATAGCTTGAAGGAGCACCGATGGCAATCCATGTCGGTTGATGTACGACTGGGCATCCTTGCCCTGAAGCCCCTTGCAAACGATATGACTTCCGTCGATTGCTCCTAGGACTCCAGGGAAGCCAGCTTTCGCCTCGAAGCCGGATATAATATGCAGTGCCTTTTTCTCCGACGGCCACGACACGAAGTTTGGGCTCTGGGTCAAAACAGCTAGACCAACTCGGTGCACTACCCTGCACACCGTAGACTTGGAGAGTCCAAAGCGGTCTCCAACAGACCTGTAAAATATAAAAACAGCCAGCATTTTAATGATATATAACAATGAACCACCTTGAGTTCGTTCCCATACATAGTATACGCTTATTTCGTCATCTGAAATTTAAAGCGATGAGACCCTTTCACTGGCGCCGAACAGCTAGACATTTCAGAAATCATTGTAGCCAACCAGACATTTCAGAAAATTTAAGTAAGGAAATCCTGCTCAGACGACTTGCTCTCCGCATAGCTATGCGGAGAGCAAGTCATCTGCTTCTTGCGTAGGAGTTGCGGTGACGTCAGAACGACGCCGAGCTCTGATTGACTTTGATATGAAAGGAGAAAGTGGGTAGATCTCAACGCTAGATGCCTTGAGGTCTACCCACTATTTTGTTTCAATCAGCCACTAAGAGCTCGGCGTTCTGGCATCATTGCAACCCCTGTGCCAGAAGCATACGAACTAGCACTCCGCGTAGACAAACAACGAGTCGGGGATATTTATTATTGGTTCAAGATCGAGAAATAACCCGTTCCCACAAAGTCACCTGAAGCACTCCAGGTTGGCAAGACTCCACACGAATATCAGAGTCTGCTTGGTAACGTCTATGGCCGGCCGTCCGCGAGGAACTTGCAGCTGAGGGGCGAGCAACGTCACTAGGCGCTCAACAGAAGTCCTTCGGAGCCGAAAATGACTTTTGAAGTCCTCGGGAGACTGGCGGGGGACAACAGTTTCCGCATACCCTAAAATCTTGGCCACTTTGCGCCTGAAATGATAAAAAAATATATGTATATATATTATGTAGGATTTGTTTTAAAGTGCAGGTGCATTCGCTTCGCGTGTCTGCTTCAATATATACAAAATTTATCGTTGGTTTCCATCCCCGACAATAATCAACCAGCTACTCATAACACACGTGCGATTTGTGATCTTTTTTTCCCGGTGACTAGCGATTCATAGAATGCAAGCCTGGTAACACAAAAACAATTCATTCGGAACAAACAAGTCGGTTGTGTATGTGTATATAGAAAAAAAAAAAAAAAAAAAAAAACACTGAAGGGACGGATTCCACCCTAAGTCTTCCTTTAGACGTAAAGCGTAGCTAGTGTGGACGTTCATGGTACATTATATAAAAGATAAAGAAATAAATAAAGCCCACACGCAGAACATAATTTACTAAAATACGTATGACGGCCAAATGTTCTTTTATGTTGCCTTTCTATATTTTACGTTCCACGCAGCTTATTGAATAAGATGAGAGTGAATACGTAATTCACTCTCATCGGAGTGAATAGTTTCGCTTTTATTTGTATACAATAACTAATATAAGCTTCAAGTCGGCGTTGCAAGGTGTGCCAATGAAGCACGCTCTGGATACTTTTTCGATTAGCGCGCTAAATGCCGCTTTAAAGTTTATCAGAAAATGTTTCCTTACCTCTTCTTCGTTGTAAAACTCTCTAGGATTTCCCACTCCTCCGCCGCGTCGTCACTATCAAAGAAAAACTTCGCAGCGGTTAATATCATCGTCTCTTCGAATGCTTCCTCCATGATCAAAACAGATCGTCTGCTATTTCCAGAATCGAGCCTGCTATGCTTTCGTTTTGCCGTAGCACAAGACGAAGCCAATCCGCGTAGTAGCCAGGTGATTATCCCGGCCGTTCCAAAATCGACTCGCGGATCGTTTACTCGCGATGTCACGTGGTATTACCCGCTGACGTAGGAGGCAGGTTACTCGGGTAAGATTTGGAACATACCCAATCGACCGCCAGTCCTTATAGTAATGTAGGCACGCAATTAAAGATGGCGCAAGCCACCGTCCGATTCAAGGAGCAGTATATAAAATGTGTCTATTTGTATGCTTACGTTTTAAATAGATTTATTTAAGTAACTTTTTTAAAATTAGGCGGCAGCTTGCGCCACCTAGCCAGTGTCCGCTCATAAAATGATGATGATGTTAGTTAACAAATAGGTGGATAAAGCTTTACGACTAGACCTTTTTAATCGGGCGGTGGCTTTCGCCACCTACCCGAAGCTTTTTTTTCATAGACTTTTGCAGCGTCCCCTATATTTTCCGGTACTTGATAAAGTGATGAGAACAACGAATGCGGACCAGCTGGCGAAGGAGATCACCGAGGCTGGAGGGGGTGCGTGCATCACAGCGCGATCACAAGACCGCTGGTTTGAGTCGCCGCAGGCTGCCGTCGATGGTGAGCTGCGCGCTCTGCCGCGACGACGGGTCTTCCTGAAGCGATCGGCGTTCACCTGCGACCATGGAGGCCGACCTAGAACTCGCGGACTACTGGACGAGCCCCAAAGTGGTGGTAAGACCCAGCGCTCCGTTTGAATGCAAATCCTACTTTCTACGCTACGATTCCAACTAACGCTCGTCTAGCGTCCCAGGAAGTGCGCAAGGGCTGTTGCACAATGGTCCGCGCACGTCAAAAACTGCGACGCTTTTAGGTCGCCGCGCTAATAACCCCACTTCTTCAAAAACACGCTCTTCGGTTCTCGGAAAATGCGCAGACGGGGCGAACAAGCGCGCGCGAGTGAGAATTTCATCTGGGGCAACAGATTGACCTACGTATTTTTTTTGGCGCGCGTTATTGTTTTTCTTTCTCTTTTTTTTTTCTTTCTTTGTGAAGGGGTGTATGAAGCTCTTGGCAAGCGTTCAAAATTGCGTTTTATTCAATCTGAACTACCGGAAACTAACGGAACGTCGCGTTGCTGCGATGAAGTAGGGGGGGTGGGGGGGGGGGGGGGAGGAGAGGAGGAGGAGGAGGAGGGAGGGGTTAGATGGGCGCGTTAAAAAGCCGACTCGGCTTTTTAACGCGCCCATCGAAAACACGGACATTCTGTATTTTTTGAACGGACACAAACAATGCATGAAAGACTAGGATAAAAATAGAAATGACTGGAATATGGTATCACCGAAAGATAAAATTGGCCTTTAGAAAATGAAAGAATAAAGAGACCTGAAAGGGTCAGATCCCGAACTAAGGGGAGGCAACAGCTACGTGATGTTTAACCAGAACTGATATACATACATATACAATCTCAGCGAGCCAATCGGAGCCAGAGCGAAACACATGACAACGGATTGCCAGCCTGTGCTCCTCCTGCGAAGGAGGAGCACAGACTGTCGTTCTGATTGGTTTAGAGGGGGCCGTAGCGTTTGCAGCTTGCCGAGTTATTTCGAGTTCATGGTTTAGATTAAAAAAAAAGAATTGCACAGTACAATACATTTGGATATGTTGAGAGATTCACCACTGTACAATAATAGCATCATGCTTTACACGGACTGCAGTTCTGTGTTCTCACCCTTTATCATTAAAATATCCTGTTTGCTCATTTAAAGACGCCCACTCTTCTTCAACGAATCTCACAAGTAACTTTTGCGACACATTCAGTAAACTCTGACGCACTTCTTTCGTTACATACTTGGCAAATATTATGATTTTTTTTTTATAGTTTGTAAGCGGTTGCGAACTATTTTTAAGGTTGTGTGAAATATTATGCAAGTAGGGAATGACTTCCAACAATTTTGAATGACAAAGAATTATCCTTTCTGTAGATGGCCTTGGTGTAGCCCCAGCTTTCTGATAAGTCGTGATTTTTTTTTTCTGTTAGTATTAGTGGGAAGATAGGGCAACAATAGATTACATATTTGTGTCCGTCCTTTTTTTTTTGCATTAGATCAGTTGAAAGTTGGCGCCTGTTCATGTCTATGCTCTTTGTCTGTGCCTAGTTTGTGCTTTTTAGATCTCGAGGAATTGAGAGGGTGAAGCTAATATAGAAGAAGCTTTAAGGAACCTTGAACTTCACTTCTCAAAATTGAGAGCTATCAAGGACGCCAACGAGCTGCACAGACTCGATGTCTTTCACGGGAAACGTCGCAATCAAACCTTCCGGAGGAGTATGGGAGACGAAGATGTCAAAGGAAGCTGGTATTGAAACTAGGAAGTACAAACGAAAATCAACACCCAACATGCAGACATGGAACTGCAAACATACTTCTCTGAATGCACCTAATTTAAGGGGTACCACCACAAAAACGTACAGGGAATTTGCTATATCCGACTGATTCTGTATCGTGTAGTGCAGAAAGATGGCCCTCAAAGCACACGAGTCTCCCGATAAGAATTCACGCTTTGCGTTTCTTGCAAGTACCAACAACCCTTGTGTTGTGCGATTATGCGAGACACACGCCACGAGCAAGTGCTCCAATGCCACTCGCTTCCAGGGCTGCTTGTTTCACTGTTGCGCGCCAAGAGCAGCGCAAGGTACGGACCGCATGCACTGGCGCATTTGACGGTAATCGAAGGCAAACAGAAACCCATAGAGGGGCCTTACACAGGTAAAGTGCGTGGGCCCCAAGCTGGTGCCCTTCTTCAAGACGGTGGCCCTGTACTTTGCCGTGGCCGTGGGACGACCGCCCTCCTGGCTGCCCTGCTTGCTCAAGTGCTTGCCTGTGGCCTTCCTCGGGGTCTTCGTGGTGTTGCACGGCATCTCGCTGGGCCAGGAGCGTCATAGCTACTCGCGCCGGGTGCTTCTCGGCCTGTGCCTGTCGTGCGTCGGGGATGCCCTGCTCGTGTGGCCCTGGGGCTTCCTGCCGGGCATGGCCGCCTTCGCTCTGGCACACGCCTGCTACACGGCCGCTTTTGGTCTGCAGCCGCTCAGGCCGTGGGCCGGTGCCGCCTGCGCCACCCTGGCTGCGGCCGCCGCCGCCCTGCTGCTGCCGGGACTCTGGGGCAAGTACTGCCGGTGGTCGTCGCTTTCCGCTCGTGTACAAGCAGCAATATTGCGCTCCATTTCACAGTTGTCTACAGTGCAGACAAAGGCACAGGCATGTGGTCCATAGCTCGGCAGAATGCCTCGTTTGCATGAGAATCCACGCATGGAAGGCACTAGTCAAAGTTGCACGCTCGCTCCCAGGCCTTTGTCAGCATTGCAGATGTGTGTGAGACGGAGTACAGGTCAACTCGCTTGCAGAACTCCCGCAGAAAAGCAAATGCAGCTCCCTGTTCACTCGCTCATTGAGAGTGACTGTACACAGCAGCCTAAACGATTGGCTATAACTGGCTCCTTCATTCTTATTATCCGAATTTCCCATCATGATGCATTAGAATGTTTTCATGCTCGTCATCAGGAATTTACTCAAACGCCCACATTAGGGCACTTTTTTTTAGTAATGTTTAGCGTTGTTAGAGGTGCTGCCATGCTCTTCTTCCTGCATTCAGGGCTATTTAAAATTTATCCGGGTCTGAGCACGTGCGAAAGAGTGGAGAGAAAAGCCGGTCCTGCCCTTTCCTGTGGAAATATGTTTTGCACTGGGACACATAGTCTTGTAAGATATACAGGAGAATGTGCTGCCTTCAGCCAGCAACAAGCACAGCACTATGTCATGCTCACTGCCAAAAGGTTCCCGGTGATGGGTCACGCTCACTGCCAATAGCCTCCCTTAAGCCAACCAGGGCGTGCGGATACGTGCAGCTACTCAGTTGGGGAAGCTGTGGCGACTGCAGTGACGTGCTGCAGCCTGCCTCCAGAGTCATCTGTTCTTTTTTCATTTAATTTCATTTATTTAGTCTCGGGGGCCCAAAGGCCTTACAGAGGAGTAGGTTAGTTATTCAAAAATACAATATAATCCTAAACAAGGCAAAGATGCATTAATATCGATGAACAAAGGCAAGAAGTGCATCAATACAAAAATGGACAAAGCAAAAAAAAAAAAAACACACAAGTAAACATCAATATAAGAATGAGCAAGGCACATGAAAAAAATGTAAACCAGACAAAAGAAAAGTAGTACAAACATCGCTAAAGAATGTTATAAATAAAAAAAATTGTAATTTCAGTTTTAAATATGGCACCGTCAGTTATTGAGACTTGCTGCGGGAAGGAGATTCTGATCAATGGGCGACTGGGGAAGAAAAGAAGCATTGAAAAGGGAGGTGCTTCAGTGTGATGCAACTGCACGATTGCAAGTGGTACGATAGAAAGATGATGATAAGTAATGAAAACATAGAGTTAGGACGAAGCTATGGTGCTTCTGAGCGGCATTTGGCAGGCCCTGCTCCGTTATCAACATTTGCCGAGTCAGTGCCAACCGATTTCGGGGCAGATTGTGGAAGCATTCTGTGAAACGGTAGATAAACACAATGGTAGTAATATTTATCTAAAGTGGGTGAGCCAATAGTGGCAACCAATAGATTAGATTGGCAGCAAAGACCTGCACGGTCAGCATACGGGAGAGTGGATGCTGTCGAAATATGTTACCTGGAATGCCTCCCTGACTATCGTTTGCTGTATTCTCATTTCTGGTCCTCTCTTTCCGCCCGACGACTTCACACTTGACTTGCATCATGTTATTGCCTGCCGTAATTTTGGCGGTATCGCAGCAGTGAAAGTGGATAACACTGACGAGTGTTCTGCTGTGGGTCGCCGTTCAGGTTGGTAATCCACCGAGGCTTCCGCAGTTAGGAGTTGTGTACTGCCACGATGAATGCGCCACTTGCATTCTTTCCTCTTTTTTTGCCAGAATTCCTACGACCAACGGCCAGGGTCGCGACATCCGGAAACACAACACGGCTGCTCTTGCGAAGCAATTTGTCGCCACTACGGAACCACTTTTGATGCACTAGGGTGTGGGGTGTTACAACTGACCATTTCTCATGAATAGTGAAGATGGGTAAACAAAAGCGGGCGAGCTGGTAAACAACATCCGTAGTAAACCCATTCTTTTTTTTTCTTATTCCTTCTTCGGGTTTTAAAAGTATGACTCCTCCCTTTGCCCTTCTAAGCCAATTTGCTTTCCATCTGCAGTTTTGTAACAATCACCAGGCTGTGTGGAATATCGCCAGGATGACTTCGTCCAGAGTACCTCAATGTTTCTTGCTGGTTGTGCCTTGCCAGAGTAGCGACATGCTTTGCGAGTGCAAGCACTGCCTTTCCCCAACCGTGGCCTCCATCTTGCCTTCTTTCCGGTGCCAAAAACAAATGCATATTCGACGAAATGTGCGAAATCACACGTCCTTAAAGTCACCCCGAGTGATTACACTAGCAATAGTGCTCGATGACTGCATACACAGGTAGTAAATGGAGGCAAGGTAGCGACTCCATTAGCAGACAGTGTTGTCTCCGGTCCGTTAGCAGACGACTTTGCGGTCCCCGCCAGACCCGACAACGTCGAGGCATTCTGCTCTCGTCGTAAGCGGCTTACGAACGGTCACGATGTGTTCGACCACAGCCGAACACATGTGCGAACCAGCCCACATCAGTCAACGACACATTCCAGACACTGCAGCCATAGCGTTCCAGACCCCTCCCCCCAACTCGTTTGTGTGCACTTGCAGGGGTGCTAGTCTGGGCGGTGCCCTGCTACAGCCTGGTGCTCATGGTCATGGTGTGGCGCGGCGTGTCGCGGGTGCGCCTGTTTGGCGACCTCTGGACCTGGACCCGGCTGTGCTCGTGCATCGGGGCGGTGCTCTTTGCCGTGTCGGACGCCATGTTGGCCCTGGACGCCTTCTACCTGAGTGCGTCCCCGGCCTACGCTCGACATGCCGTCATGTTCACCTACTACGCGGCGCAGCTGGGCATTGCCCTGTCGGTGGTCGACAGCCGCACCATGGCGGCGCTGAGCGTCGCCAGTGAGGCGCCCTGCCGCCCCGCCACGTGCTGCCCTGGTGCGCGAACCCCGGCGCCGCGGCTCGGACAGTAGGGGCTCGCTCACCCCTGGCAAAAAGACTTGCCGGCATGCTGTTGTTCCTCTCTGTGTCGGCAAACCAAGAGCCTCTGCTAGTGTGCGAGAGTGGAAGCGCTTGCAGCAACGGCGCCGAGACCAAATGTCCTCCCAAAGACTGCCGTCGACCTCGACGGCGCGCATCGAGGCCACACCGATCAGTATTGGGTTTGGGGATACGTTACCTTTGCAAAGGCACTTCCGTTCGGACATGTGCCCATGTACGGCCACGTAAGGAACTCCGTGTAAGTTCCTCGTATGGATGTAGACGTCCATAGAAGGAACACAGTCTTTTAAACTGAACCTTTTGAGAAACGACACTCCTTCGGCTTGTTCTTGCCGTGCATCCACGACGAGGCCAGCTTCCTTCGGACGACAATATTTTGCGGCAAGGGGTCCTTTCCAGTCCAATAGACCAACAAGTTTGGGTGACATACAACAGAGGGGCGTGCTATAAAGAGCTGTAAGGGCATCCTCCACAGACCTATGAAGTAGGTAAAGCTGCAATAGAATGTGACTAACAGTAAATTAGTCAGGAACAGGTTAAGAGTTCGGGAAAAGCTCCTCCCACCTCTTTCCACTTTAACGGAGCGAACGCTGAACAGGTCGCCTCTCTCCTAAAGTGGGAGGAGCTTCCCCCAAATTTTCAACCTGTCACCGGTTATAGTTAATCTTCCTCAGTTAGTTATTTTTCTAGACACTTGACATCCAAATTGCATGCGGTAGCTTGTTTGCGCAGTGTCTTCATTTTGTTCGGAAGCACCATATATTTGTGTCTTGAGACAAACAGTTCTGCATCACTTAGGATGGCTTGCCTTTCCATAGGACTAGCTTATTGCCAGACTATTTTTGTTCCATTGAATGGAATGAAGTGCATCAGTGTAGTGATTGGCACTAATGCACTCTGAAAATTGCAATGTTTTATCTGTGGTCCGCTGGTGAGGTCTATCCATTTGTTATAAAGGCCTCGAAATGTATCGTAAGCTGTGCGAAGGAATGAAACGGGATCGAACCGCCGTCTTTCTTCTCCGCCATGCGAAACGGGTCAGGAGTCGCAGCAGCCATCAGATATCTCGAAGGCAACTAGGTACATCTGGGAACTGGTTCCTCTATTTGTGAATTGCTCTAAAAGCGACGACAAAAACTGCACATATTATAGATGCTTTTCAGCAGGTGGTCATGGGCGCAGCCACAACTGACTTTTAACACTTTTTCTTTCATTCATGCAATGCTCTTGTCCCTATTGTAGGTTTTTGTGTGAACTCGTTATTACCCATTTTACAAGGCTGGGCATCTCAATGAGGCAACAGAAGGTCCAATTACGGCATCCTAAATCTGGCGAGCAGGAAAAAGGGTCTCTATGAGCAATCATCACACGGTACCCACTACAAACTCGCGATGGGGGAATCGATATCACAGTTTGCGAACATGGCGAACTCTCATTCCTTGGTATTGTTACTTTGTTTCAAAAATATTTGCCTGCGTGATTTTATTAACAGATGGCAATGTAAGGTTCAATGTATATCTAATGATCACAATCACTAGCTACTAGCGTTATAGTTGTGTCAGCAGCCCGCAAGTGAGCACTGCTCTTTTGGGGTGGCAGTTCATGCCATCTGGCCGACAGCTGTGGTGAAAGGAACGCAGGCCACATGTTGGCTGGGTAATGCAAACTTGCTGCCCAATACAGTGGGTCTTGCAATCAGATGCACCTTTTCATTTGCATAGTGCCACCAGTTTTCATATCTGTATAACAATTTTTAAAAGTTTATATTTCCTCATATAACCAACCACAAGGGGCTCAAGTATAGAATGGCAAAAAATGGATCTCAGAAATTCAATTTTGGCAGTTCTTTGTCTCGTAAAGGTTTATTGCTATGCTGAAATCAGCTCGGGGGCAGCTGAAGTCACTCCCACTGGACAATGCATGAATTTGAAGGGGTGGGTAATGTTTCCGTTTTTCCCCTCGAGTAACTACCTGTAATTGCCTGTATTTTATAAGAGAAACTTTTACAGCTCTGCCCCACGACACAAACTATCATGCTCAAAGGTCACAGCAGCTTCCAGAGTAGCTAGACTGGCATTCTGCTGTTCTTAAACTCCTGCCCATACGATCCCCTTCACAAAAGCTTGCAAGACTCCCCTCGGAAAAAAAGCAAATTGCATATGTTAAACGGAAATATTCAGGGGTGAGCCTGAAGTGCACCACCAGAAGGCAAGTTTTCTTCCTTTTGATGGGAACAAATTCCTGCTTGACAACCCCTGGAGAAGATGATTGCATCACCTTTCTAACTTGCATGATCGAGCAATATTATGCCGGACTTTTAATCTCAATACTCGTATAACACATTGCACATGAAAATCACCACATGCAAGAGCCAGTGGGTAACATGTGCCAATAGGCATTCTCTATTGTCCCTCCATGATAAGATGTTTTCCCTTTCGTCTTTCATCTGAGCAAGCCAGCCAAACCACATATCATCCGAGCACATTTGATCCAAGCTCTACTATCCAAACATCATTTCGTCGTACATCTTTCAACGAGCTTAATAGCATGCATAGTGGCTCCCAGTATCATTCCTGACGACAGCTCGGTTTCTCATTTTACCCCTTATATTATCCCTCCTTTGACGTTGGCAAGGAACGTAATCGCAACGCTTGTTCAGGGCACATAACGAACCTGAGCTCTAGTTACTCTCCCCATTGTGCAGCGTAATCTAATCAGAAAAGCCTTGGTCCAGATAGAAGCGAACTGCAGCAGTGATTTCAACTGCAACCTTGGCTACATAAATGCGCCAGAAGGGTGGAGAGCAGCCTCCACAGAAGTAGCAAGCTTTCACCAAGCAACCAATAACTGGTTTGAATCGCACAGCTCAAACATGCACTAAAGGACGTGTGGAATGTATGGAACTCCTTTGCGGAGGCAAACTGCATTTGCACGCAGTGGAACGCTAGTTTGACGTCGTTGAAAGTTTGTTCACTCCGCTTGAAATCAAGAACCTTTTTTCTAAATTAAACAATAAATTGTATAAATCCTTTAATTTGCCAGCCCACTAAAGCAACATGCCGTGAAGCCTTGGTACAGCGGTCGACGTTTCACCAGAAGACATGGTAATGTCTCGGTAAAATGTTTGCCTTTATTGCAAAGCTTTCCAGAAGTCTCCTTTAAGAGCACGCCTCGAGGAACCTTGAGGAAAGGTTCTACGGAGCCCATGAACGACAAGCCTCTCAAGCTGTGCTGGAGTTGCAATGAGGAGTCCTGAGTGCATGTTGCCGTCTTAAGTTTTCTCTCTACATTAGATTACATCTCGCGAGACCTTGTTCACAAAATGTTTAGTCTTTTATTGTAAAATAAACCTTATATTGTGTGCCTTGGAACTTTTCCGAAATTACCTTATCTGTTGTAGTGAAAATGACCATACTTGCATCCTTATTCATGGCAGGACTGCAACATGGAAATTTTGCTCATCATAATTGGCCTAATGCTTGGTTGTACGCACAAAGCATTGCCAGGAAAATAGTTTTGGGAGTTTTAGTTTGTAAATATTTATCTGCATTCATCAATTCCAATACCATGCTCATATAGTAATATAGTCATTTTGAAGTTCAATGCAATCATTAAAATTGTGTGAAGTGAAGCTTGTGCGCATGCACAGTGCTGACAGCAATGCCATCGTAGCGGCATGATGTCAGAGAGTCGAGTCGGTTTTCTGTACACACAACACTTGTGGGCGAGTTGTTCACATAATAATTATAATAAAAAAGGTAGTGGATCCTGTGACATTTATGGCAGTAGTCTGGATTTCACTATACAAAAAAATTCGCGTTTATGTTCATATAAACACTTAGTGTTAAAAAAAAGATTGAAACTGACTTTTAGAAAATGCGTTATGTAAGAGTAAGAATGGAATCGCCAAGTATGGTGCTAGTGGACAAAAAAGCAGTAGTTTTGAGAAAAATGATCCATAATTTTTGAAAATATCGAAAGAACACATTCCATTAGTTTGCTGGGCACGTTTGTCAGAAAAATTGGCCTGTAGTAAACTCATTCTTTTGAGCATTTCTAAAATCCAGGGTGATTTTTGCCAGTCCCCAATCGGCAATATTTAAGGATTCTTGAAAGATATAACATAGAAGAGCGCCATCTTAACAATGTGCTAAGGTGGTTTCAAAGTTTATCCCTTTATGGTGCAAACTCTATGCACTGCAAGCATCCTAAAAAAAAAACTTGATTACAATTGTGCCCGTTTTTCTACCAATAATGCAACCGAACATCCCAGTATGGCTCTTTTTGCGATATATCTGGGAAAAACAAGAGTTTGAGGGGTCTGCTCTTTTCTTCTAATTACACCAGCAACACACACCAGGCTGGGTATCACTGAGAACCTGACCCAAGACACCACGCTACCTTTATTTTTCTTTTCAATGAAATAGAGCACCGGACAAAAATGTCGTTGCTCATTTCACTGCTCATTTCCAACAGCAAACAAGGCAGGCCCATGTCATTCAAGAGGCCCCATGATGTCTCTCCGGAAGAACACAAGTGGTGTTGCATTGCGCTCAACTGCCAAAAGACCTTTTGCTAAATTAAATTACCCAAGCAACAAAAATAATGCTGGGAATGTTGGTACACACGTTGCCTGTGCTTGCCTTACCTGTATGAAAGATTCAAAGTAAATAATCAAAACAAGCTGTTAACGAACGCACGTGCAAAGTGCCATTTTCTTTGATTTTTGCTTTAGGACAATTACTGTTGCAAGCATGTGTACATAACGTGCATAACTATGCTGAAAGCATGTGCTTGAGTGATTTAGTAAGTGGTCTATCAGGAAATTTAAACACCTTCCACTTCCGTAGCGAGCAGACATTTAAGTATGGACCCATCGTGGACTTGTTCGAGATTACTTACCAGTGCCGATTTCCAGCACTTGAGGTGTGCAGACTCGACGCAGTCCGGAACCCGGGAAACACAAACCCTGCAATAGCTTTCCTGGGGTTAGAGAGGACAAGTGAGTCCAGCGTAAAAAACCAGGTCGCAGCATTTGTGACTGCTTTATGTTGGGGAAACAAAACCCCCGAAAACTTGTTTTTAAAATTGTCTTGTCCACCTTGCGTTTGGTGAAGGAGATGTAGAAACAGCACTGGATGCTTCCAAGTTCCAGTAAGGGAAGGCATTCTGCAATTCACAAGGAGGTTGCGGGACTAGAAGAAGCTCTCCTTCCGAGCGAACGGCGGTGAGGAATAGTCGTTTCGAAAGGTCCGTCACGAGCGAACGGTTTTGGTCGCACAGTCTGCCACCAGTGCTTCACTTCGTCGGCACCTCTTGTCCACGTCGCTTGGCGAACCTCGGGGCAAAACCGGGAGAGTCACCGGGCAGGGAGCCAGGGATCTCGCCACTGGCCACGGGCACAGAACGTACTAGGAAGGAGACACGCACGGTGCAAACAAGAGCATACTCGCAGCTCATTCGAAAAGTCGCAGGCATGTTCAAAGTCCCTACTGGGCATGCACTTAGCCACTCCCCCTGTCCAAGCCATGCATATTAGAGAGGGCAAAGTTCTTGCTCGTCGTTAAAAGGCTTCTTTAAAGATCAATTGGGCTTTTGTCAGTGCCAACGACCGGAATCAACGGACGACGCATCTTCGCTCCAGCGACTTTTCTGCCGCATTTGCGTCAAGAAATTGATAAGCATGTGGCTGTTCGGTTACCATTTTGGCAGTTGGGTAAGTGCATACCTCGTAGGGCCTATCACTTACCCGCAACTAAAACTTAACCAATGTCTTAAAAAAAAAAGATCACCAGCGGGTTGAGTGTTCACTGGCACCAATCAACTGCCTTGCCTTGTCCCCCGTTGGTTACGTAGTGCTGGACGTGTCTCAAACGACCCAGCACGTTGCCGTCAGATGTTAGTCCACCGGTGCCCAAGGACGCCAGTTCCCAAGGGCACCAGTTCTCGAGACACCGGTCTTTAGGGGCCCCAGCTCTCGAGGACACCAGTCCTTGAGGACCAGTCACCAGGATACTGTGCCCAAGAGCACAGATTCCTAAGGACTATAGTTCCCAAGGACACAGTGCCAAAGGACAATGCCCAAGGACTCCAGTTCCCAAAGACACCATGCCCAAGGAGACCAGACTGTCGCCCGGGAGGCCCGAGACAGAGCCCTTGGCGGCCCAATCACGGCAGCTGCTGCTCAAAGAGGCAGAGGGTCCGGTGCACAAACTCGTACTGCTCGGCGGTTTGGACCATGCCGCCCCTGAAAGCCGAGGAGTCGTGAGGAGGGAGGGGGGGACGGGGGGGAATGCTCACCTGTCCCCACGCAGGGCACACACGGTGGCCAGCACGTCCACGCTGCCTTCGGCCTCCAGCTGTTGCATGCCGATGCTGCTGGCCACAAAGCAGCCCGTGCGGCCTAGTCCCGCACTGCATGCAAGGGGTCGCCTCATGCAATGACGTGTTTGGCACTTTAGGGAACACGGAAAGGAATAGCTTCGACATATGGAAGGTATTTTTCTATGGTATCCTCAAAGGGCTGCCGATGTGGCTAGGCATGGGAGACGGGCTTGCCGGAAACCAATGGAACAAGCCCAATAAGCATACCAGCAATGGCGATGCCACCACCCCCGTATGAAAAGATTGTCGTACAATCGCTCAGTTAGCCCCTACGGTTATAAACCCAAATACATTAGCAAGCGTAAGCTTTTAGCGAGGCTTCAAACTCTACAATCGCGCGTGTCGGTGCCCGTCAAAGGGGGAAATGTGGGAAAGCCAAAAGGCGACAAGGCTAGCTCCCCATAAATGTCGACTTGATAGCTCTTGAAAGCGTCACACACTCTACGATGGTAACTGGCAAGGTTAGAACGACACGAAAGTACTTTGGTTGTCGAGCTTCCGACACTTAGATGCTTTGGCATGTCATGCACCTTGAGCACGTGCATGCAGCCGAGGCATGGTCAAGGTTAAGGAGTGCTTGCTGGTTGCTGGGCATTCGAAAGTCGTGCCTTGCTACTTTTGTTCTGACAGTGACTATGGTCGTCACAGATATGTGTCCCTTTCTAGGGAGACCCCACAATCTCCCGCTAGTTCAAGATGATGCAGGCCCTCCCTCTTCACAAGCAAAATCGGCAGAATAATGAGGCCTCTAGGACGAGGAGCTCCCGGGTTTTGCAACTGTTCGAGGAAGACTAGCCGCGTCCAAACTCCAAGTCCCCCCTCGGTGCCCCCACCTGCAGTGGACGACGAGAGGCCCGGTTTCTGAGCGCAGCTGCTCGGCTTCCCTGGCCAGGGACAGCAGCTGCTGGGGGCAGGCAGGTGTGCCATGGTCCGGCCAGGCCGTGTACCACAGGTGAGCCACCCGCCGTTGTTCACCACGGCACTGCGAGTGATTCGCGTCATCAGGCACTACTGGATGGGACCCCTAGACACTGCCGGCTAGCACTATTTGGCACCACTGGCAGGCACCATTGACTGGCATCTGTGGGTACCGTCGGTGGACTCCTACAGGCACCACCGGCAGGCAGCAGCAGGTACAACTGGCTGGCACTATTGGGCACTGCTGGCTGACACCATAAGGCATTGTCAGGCACAGCCAGTGGGCACCATCAATCAGCCACTGCCAGTGGTCACCATCAGGCAACACCGTCTGGCACCATCAGGCACTACTGGCTGGCACCACCGGGCACAAACAGATGGCATCATCAGACACTGCTGGCTGGCTGATGGTGTTGACTGGCACCATCAAGCATCACAGTCAGGCATTGCCGGCAGGCACCTTCAGGCACCGCTGGGCACAAACAGCTAGCACCATCAGGCACCGCTAGCTGGCTGATGGTGCCAACGGGCATGTCAGGCACTGCTAGCGACCACCACGGGCAGGGCACGCACCTCTAGAGCCAGCTCCCGCAGGGTGTAGCCGTCCCGAGGCGTTGTCCGCAGCACCGCCACTCCTATCTCCCCGAAGCGGAGGGGTTCTCCCTCTGGCAGGTATTGCTCACACTTCACCTGCAGCCGGTGGGACGTTTGAGACACAATTCCAAGCTTGGGGACACCACAGTCAGACTTTCACTTTGACTCCACGTGAGCCTCAGGCCCCCACTAGACCACTGGGGGTACAGGACACTGGAAGCTTTGTTCCAAGCTCAGATGCAAGAAGAGGATTTCTATACCCTTTCAAAGTCACGCAAACGCTTAGGTGCCCTTGCACTCCTCTTAACCCCAACGGCACTAGACGTAACTAGAAACGTACCCAGCTCAAGATTAGACGGATAGAAAATGGAGTGCCAATATACACTGACAGTGCTTTCAGGTACCCTTGGACTGAAACACTTCTCATCTTATCCACAGCAGCTACAAACATAGAAAGTTCACATATACCACATTGCCAGCCTGCACTCTTTTATGTCTCCATCTCCTTGTTGGTTGATTGTCATGAGTCCACCATGTCTCAAAGCAATTTTAGCTCAATTCCTCCCCAACTGCGAAATAGAAATCTAGCAGCTAGAAGAAAACTAGTCGGTTCAAATTGAAATCTGGTCCACCATAACATGCCTCTATAGCAGGCGTGGCCAGGCTGACCCGGCCTAAGAGCCACAAACAAAAGCACAAAACTTCCAAGAGCCATGGGGGGGGGGGGTGCAGTGTGTGTGCAAGCTTTTGCCCAGAGCAATAAACGGAACTCATCTACTTTCAATCTACCCGGGTCAAAAGTAGTCCAACTGTACGTAAGGTAGCAAGCAGTAGCTCAAGACTACCAAACCGCTACCTCTCTTTCGATTTAAAACACATTCCATTTCTCTTTTTGAAGAAGTGCTCGTGTGACTGGGAGGGAGGCCGTAGGGGGGGGGGGAGCCGCGAGCCACACTTTAAAGGGGGACCAGCAGAAATATTCTTCCGCCTGGCGGAAAGTCCTCCTCGCCCTCTTTCTTTCTTGTATTGTAGCATGGCGAGGAGAGAAGAAAGGTCCCCTTTTGCGCCGGCTTCTTCTGAGAGGATAAGCCGGGAAAATCCCCATTCTGAGCGACGGGCGATGGGTGCGGCAGCAGCGACCTCGTGACTTACAGGTATCTTCAGCTCGTATCGCGTAATCTGCCCTATTTTTTGGCTCTCGCCAAGCCTAGCCCCTCGGGGGTAGGTTTTACGGAGCTGCAAGGCTGCGCCCTCGCAGTCACCGAATTCGAACTGTCGAAGTTTGGTTTAGCCCGTGGCAAAGTAAACGCATACTTGAGAGCTGCGATGCATCTCCGCACCTATTGAAGGAGCGTTTCATAGATATTCTCGGTTGATCAAGGAGCTCAACACACATGCGCGAGATGTGGTGATCTGAATATGTAAGGATGACTTACATCTCCACAAAACATTCCATCTTCAAAAAAAAAAAAAAACGGCTTATCACGCTCAAATTTACCTCAAATTGGGATCGATGGAAAAGAAATGATGTACCAGCCGCGGGCATCTTGTAGAAGGTCTTTGTTTTCTAGCAGTGAGCACAAATTATTGAAAATATTTAGCAGACTATGTTTTCAGGCCATGGTATATTTAGCGGGAGCTCGCGCTGCGACTTTGATTCTTTATCGAGTACGGCTATGGAACGGAAAAGACAATATTAAACGCCTTTTTGGCGAGTCTAGTGTGTCGTGTTATGGTTCAACGTTGCTTGTATTGGTACCATAGCACGGGCCGCCACTTCGAAGTATTTGTGGTGTCTCAAAGAAACTAAAGCAAAAGCAGACACTTTTTTTAACGTGACACAGAACTGTATTTAACATTACGAAAAACTTTTAGGTACCCTACGCCATAGGCGTAGACTACGGGGGGCATCGGGGCTCGTGCCCCCCCTGGTGTGATCCGGGGGGGGGGAGGGGAGCAGAGTTAACGCGCAGCGCTTTCCCGCTCTCCCCCCCCCCCCCCCCACCCCCCTCAAGAAAATGGAAAGTCTAAGCCGCTGCCCTACGCCACGCAGTTAGCACGAACAAACTATCAACGGTATTTCCCACCTTTTTTTTTTTTTTTTTTTTCTGAAGTGAATGATGTTTAGGAAACTGTTAATGCGAGTATCCCAGCTAAGCGGTAGATTTTAGTGCGAGCAAATACATTGCTGGGGAAAATAGCAAAAAGCACCGCTGTCGTGTTTGCGGTAACAGTTTCGCGTAATGTACGCATACCGCTGCACAATCAACGCTAACGGAGTGAATCAGTAAATTTGGTGGCCCCCCAAAAAAGTGGTGTTATTTTGTTTTGTTTTTATGGTTGAAAGGTTGTTATTTTTATACAAGCAATTCCGCAAAGAGTGCTTCCATTGGGCACCAACTTACGAGACATCAATTTGTTCTTATACACTAAATTCTGCATGGCCCTTGCGTAAAAATGTCAATATTGCGTTCGTGCTGGCTGTTTCACGGACAGTTCATGGCTCGAACATTTAAACAAGGCATTTCCAAATAAACATTTTGCGAGTACGCTCTATTAATGGTGGTTCATACAATAATCTATGTTGTTTATTTGGAGGAAAGGAGGTGATGGTGAGGGGAGGGGGAATTGAATACAAAAGACGACTCTAGGGAACCTCGAACCTTGTAAATATTTCGCACAACCTATAATGCTGAGTTAATTAAATCACTTTTGCTTTGTCTGTTTCAGAACTTGTTAAAAGTCGCGCTAAAGGCCAAGACGAACGAAAAGTCAGATGCCCCTGTTTATTTGAGCAAGAAGCGTGTATAAGCGAGATAGAACTGAAAAAGCATACGAGTGTAACCGTAGCAATCTCCGACCAAGCCTGAACCTCACTTTTTTCTAAAACCACGGAGATGACTGCTTTTGACGACTTGATAAAGCAAGCCAAAGCCGTTAATAAGTGTGACTCGTCAGCTGTGATAACCAAGGCGCTGCGACGATTTCTTGAAACCTTTCACCTATTAAAACAAATTGTGTAATAAATCCATTGCCATATTATGCTTAATTGCGCTGATTTTGTAGCGGTGGGCGTGTATTACGTGGCACTGTTAGCCTGAACACGACATCGGCGCTTTTTACTATTTCTGCCAGCAACATGTATTGTCTAGCACTGAGCTCTGCCACTTAGGTTGGATAGTTGCATAACAGTTTTCTAAACATCATTCACTTCTAAGAAACCAAAATGGGAAAGACCGGCGATAGTTCGTCTGTGCCAACTGCGTGGCAGTATACCTAACATGTATTTGCAATGACAAATTACAAACGCTTTTCATATTAAAAAAAATCGGCTACATTTGATCTTTTTTTTTTAATGCTTTAAAATACTTTAAACGAGCAGCACGTGCTATAGCACCGATTTAAGCAATGTTGAACTAAAGCACGACACGCTTCGATAGCCGCACTCGATAAAGAATGCTCACAGAAAGGTTATAGCTTATATATTGTTGTAGGGTACGGTTATCCAAGAGCCAAAGACGATCCACTAAAACTTTTTCGTATCAACACACACCATTACTGCCTTCTCACCTCACCTGGTTGTTGGGATGCGTAAATATAAATGTCATCTACACATTCGTTGGCCATCATATAGTGTGAGTTACGCACACAATAATTTGTGCTCGCTGCTAGAAAACAGACCTTCGACAAGATGCCCGCGCCTGGTACATCGTTTTCATTTCCATCGATCTCAATTTGAGGCAGGTTTGAGCGTGATCAGCCGTTTTTTTCTTTCGTTTTTTTTTTTGAAGATGGAATGTTTTGTGAAGATGTAAGTCATCCTTACATATTCAAGTCACCATATCTCGCGCATGTTTTGAGCTCCTTGATCAGCCGAACATATCTATGAAACGTTCCTTCAATGTGTGCGGGATGCATCGCAGCTCCCAAGTATGCGTTTACTTTGCCACAGGTTAAACCGAAGACCTTCGACAGCTGAAATTCGGTGACTGCGCGGGCGCAGCCTTGCAGCTCCGTAAAACCTACACCCGAGGGGCTAGGCTTGGCGAGAGCCAAAAAAAAACGGGGCAGATTACGCGATAGGAGCTGAAGATACCTGTAAGTCACAAGGTCGCTGCTGCTGCACCCATCGCCCGCCGCTCAGAAAGGGGATTTTCTCGGCTTACCCTCTCAGAAGACGCCGGCGCAAAAGAGGACCTTTCCCCTCGCCTCCCGGTGCTACAATACAAGAAAGAAAGAGGGCAAGGAGGACTTTCCGCCAGGCGGAAGAATATTTCTGCAGGTCCCCCTTTAACACGCGAAGAGCTACATGCGGCTCGCGAGCTGCAGCTTGGCCACCCCTGCTCTATGGCATCAAACAAGATGTTCAGTGCCATCAGGACAGGACAGGATATTCCAGAAAACGAGGCTATGCAGTCGAGGAGCATAGAAGGCAAAATGTAATAGAAAATGGGCGCGACACGTGCAACGTGTTTCACATTCACCTGAGGTACACCACCCAAGTGACAAGAGGAACCATTGGCCAAATTGCCAAAGCACCGAAGAGAATGTTGGGAACGTAAGTACACATGCTCGCTTTACGAGTATGAAAGATTCAAATTAAATAATGAGATAAGGCAAGGACAACTGCACAAGCAAAGTTCCGTTTGTTTTAGGTTCTTGCTTTTCAACAGTTGTTGCTGGACACACTGTACTCCATTCACCACAACGGTGACATTGCGATGGAATATATGTGCTTGTTGGACCGATCATGAATGTGCTAACATTTCGTGCAGCGGTTATATATAACAAAGCATGATGAATGTAGCCTTTCAGCACTTTTCTGCAGGATGAACATTCTCGAAACCCCTCTTCTCCCTGGTGCGAGCAGATCAGGTCACTTAGTGCGAGCATGAAAGACGGTTATAGAGAGCAACGGCGTGACATAACACCTAGCAACATCCAAATTGCATCCAAACTGGCAAAGCGGGACGTCGTTGGCGATTTTCAGTTGCTAGCTGTTTCATCACGACGTCGCTCCCTGTAACCAGCCAATCCTGTACGGCCTCCGTTGCTACGCGTCCTATCACCAAGCCTCATGACGTATGCACCCCGCCACCATCTGTCGGCACTTGCAGAAGGTGTCTCCTAGCCAGTTTCCATGGCCAGTGGGGCCTTGGTGCCATATGTTCCAAACTTTATATATGTAAGCTCCAAACCAGTCCAAGGTCAGCGCACGTACCAGGGCACTAATGCTAAAGCATTAAAAAATAAAGGCAGCCAACCTTGGCGTCTTCGACTAAGTTGGTGATCATGACGATGACGGGCGCCCGTTCCTGCCACACCATGGCCCAGAAGTCGGCCACTGTGTGCGGGAGGGGTCCCTGGGTGGCGATGTAGGCGCTGCGGGCCCCCTTGAAGCCCCGCAGCCGGTTGGCGTTGATGTAGTCTCCCCGGGGCCCCAGCAGCACCCGGCTGTGCTCGTCTGCAGAGAGGGCGCCCCCTGCAGCAACCCTTCCAACCTCCGCCCGGCCAGCCGCCGTCCGGGCATTGCCTGGCGCCCACTCACTCGGCAGGATGCTCCGGTAGCGGTTCTTGCCGCCACAGCCCGGAACGGCCGCTCGCTCGGGGTGGTTCATCGGGATGTCCTGCGATGGTGACCGGGTGCTCTTATAGTTGTTGACGGCTTAAGAAACGCAGGGCGAGGCTTATTACATTCAAGCTCCTTGCTTCACGATTCATTCTTCAGCGTTCTTGTCGGCCAATGCAGCAGTCCCATTGGCTGTGGCACGATAATGAGACGCTTAGGACTCGCCACGCCGCAAGCTCTTTAGGCCGTCGGCGACTATGGCACCGTTTGCACGTGGCGATGCCAAGCTTGCTCAAGTACTCAAGCGAGTGGTGGCACACGACCGCGCCTCACTTTTGCAAGCTGTAATACAGCGCGACACAAATCGACAAGGGTGCAGACACGCGCGTCAGCTTCCAAGCAGCAACAAAGGGATCCGGACAAATATTGGAGTGCAGCACGTGACTCAGCAGTCGCTTGCGGTCAATAGGTAAAGTGCAAGGTTGCGCAGTGCATCAGTGGGGATGGATTGGCTCAGAGTACAGCCGACTTCGAAACGAAACCGAGCGCGGAAACTGCGGGGAACGTAGGGGGACATTTGCGGAAACGCTCGAATCGCGCCACCCCACGCGCGCCATCTGCAGGGAAGGCACGCACTCACCCAAAACTCTGAGTGAAGGGCAGCCACGTTGCTCAGGCAAGAGCGCAGCTGGGCTCGAGTCAGCCTCCGGCTTGCCAGGTACGGCCCGGAGCCCCTGCGAGTGCGGGATTCCTGCGGTGACGATTCATTTACCGACGGGGTGGGTGGAAAGGGATACGCACTGCTTGTCCGAGTTGCCCGTGCGCTGGAGATCCAGGGTCAGGGAGGCATTGGATCCCCGCCTGCGAGAGAGGGATGGCCGGTATGCGGAGAGCAAGTCGTGTGCTTCTTGCACAGGAGTTGCGGTCACGTCAGAACGACGCCGAGCTCCAGCCGCTTTGACCTAAAGAATAGTCGGTAGACCTCAATGCTAGAAGCCTCGAGGTCTACCCACTATTTGTATTTTTTCAATCGGCCAATAAGAGTTTGGCCTTCTGACATCATCGCAAACCCTGTGCAAGAAGCAAACAAACTTACACTCCGCATAACGCACAAGTTGAAGACACGTTCCAGGCACCATACCGTTGGAGAGGGATTGCTGGGGGAGGGGGGGTGATGCCGTAAGCCTCACCTCTCCAGGAGACCCCTTGTCCTGTGCAGGGGGCTGGGCCCCGCGGACTGTACTGCCGTGGGCACGCACTGCAGGGGAAGCGTGTCGCCGCCGGCTGGAGGAGGCCCCAGCCACAGTTCGGGGTCGCCCTTGGAAGGGAGTGGCTTGCGCTGCAACCACCACGCCAGCTGCAACGCAAACGGGGCCCCGGTCGAGCGAGACGGCCCTCCAAGGATTCGGGAAGCGTTCCGAGGCGCTTCGGGGGAAAGCCGTGCGGCACCCGGCGACGCCAGAAATGCGTTGGGACTCGGGCACCCTTTTCGAAATTTTCGGGCAGGAAGCAATACCAGAGATGTGGCGTCCTCCAGTACCACTCGACAAAATTTAAAAAGGATCTATTAAGGACCCTTTTTCTTCGTATTGGCGAAAACACTTCAATCTCAACTTTCAGAACTATGTCGGTGGAATGCGGGGCCCAATGCGGAGGTACGCAACACTGAGAAAAGGACAAAACAAAAGAATGTGAAACTGCCCTTTTTTTTACATATATTAGTCTTTGCAACCTTCACGTTAGTGCTCGCCGATTTGTAGGCGGTCCGAGACAAGTGCTTCGGCGGAAGGTGAAGATACCAGTGGGGAGGCCCAGCATTGACCAATACGTAAAATCTATTTCTCTTTCTTTGGTATAGTCCCTTACTCATGGGAGGAGTTAGGCCAGACCACTCACCAGAGGGCAGAGCCCAGCCAGCAGCAGCAGCAGCACGGCACCCACCCCAAGGGCCAGTAGCCAGGCCGGACGCACACCGGGCCGGGGCTGCGCCTGCGTGTACGGAGGTCAAGACGGTGCAGCGTCACGGGCATCCGGCATTCCCTCTTCGAGCCTCCGGGTCGTTGGGCAACCCTGTGTCAGGTCTGGCACCCAGATGCAACCAGACGGGCTCGGTCTTTCTACGACTTCGATGCCGGGCCCATACGTATGCAAGATACTATTGCACTGCTTTCCATCGCGAATGAGTTGCCGACTCATCTTAGAGAATTCTCTCAGCTATGATGCAAAGCCAGCTTTTTTTTTGGGGGGGGGGGGGGGGGGGGGGGGGGGGAGAAATAAATTAAAACAAAAATACGCTTTAGACGGCTACTAAAAAACACTGCGAGCGTTGGCGTCCCAGGCACTCACCGTGGCCGGAGTAGGGGCCGTCTGCTGCCTCGCATCTCCCGACGAGACCTGGGCACAAAATAGGCTCTGGTGACTGGAGGTACGCATTAGAAAAGTCAACAACATTGATGCCCCAAAATGATCCGTGAATGCCCAACTCCCTCACCCCCCCTCCCTCCGGCCATCAACGTGATTTGTCAGGTCGAAACAACCGTCCACAAAGCTGCCTTCACACTTTCACGATTATCTTCACTTGAAGTTGGTAAAACAATAACACTTGTAAAAAAAGTGAGGCTGAGAGTGGAAACTCATGAAAAGCTTGCAAGAGGAAACTAGGTGCTGCACCAGACGACGAGAAAACGGTGCACCGTACCGGTCGGTGTTTGTCACATGAACAGACGATTTGCGCACTTTTCGAGCAACCTCGAGCAACACAAGGTGCAACAACACTCGCTGCTCACCCTGTCGTCTTCTTAGCAGTCGCTGCTCGGGTAGTTTGTAATTAAAAATAAGATTTCTCAGCTTTAAAGAATCTTAAAGGGATATTACAACGAAATTTCGGCGCTCATTTTTTGGTCTATATGTGTTCAAAAAAGCAGCATCACATCAAACATACCAATATTTTGTTAAAAAAATCACGAAAAGGAATTTTAAAACGAATTAAACGATTAGCAAAGAGCACCTGGTGGATGTCGCTAACGCCCCGCTTGTAATGCCCGTCTAGGAACCTTGACAGTTAGTGACGGAGGTTGTCTCGTCTCCGGCCACGACGAGAGAAGAGGGGCAGGAGGAACTCCCCTCTTCCCGAGAATGCCTTTTGTGTGTCGCAGAAGTCGCTATTGCCCCCCTACAAGATTACAGAAGATGAACCCGTCACTCAAAATTCGTACAAAAGCAGCCGCTTCGGTGGCTGGAACGACTAGGCCATCCTTTCGACGTCAGCCTCGCCGTAGCTTTGGTCGTCTTGAGACGACCTACGTCACGATTGTGTTGGATGTCACATGTTCTCTGCTGGGCCTTCTCCGAGCGCTTGCCAGAGTGGGCCGTTTAGAACGAAAAATACAGCCACCAGGCTCAAAATACAAACGTGCGATTGTCATTTACGGATATTGTGGATCATATTCAACCTATTTTTGAACACGACGGGAATATTTCAAATTTCGTTGAAGTATCCCTTTAAAGGGCAACTCCGCTTCATTTTTGATATTTAGAAAACTATGTAGCCCTCTTCAGTATCATATAGGAAGACCCCATGTCAAATATTACGATCTAATTCCGTCTATATATTTAATAAACTGGCCAGCGAACCTTCAAGCGAGCCAAGTCGCCGAAATCTGCCAACTCTAGCGTGCGGCGCGAGGCGCAATCATCAGCGCAGTCAATGCCACGGAGTTGGAGCGGCCAACGTTGAACCACTACGTCAGAGGCATGCATACTTCATTCTCACGTTTTGCTTGTTTTTACTTTTCAGAGCGAAATTTAACGATGACGTCATGAGTTTCTCCTCCCGGTGTTGGCTGACCGGGCGTTCACGTGATCACCGCTGCCCTGCGCGCTTATCGGTCTGTTTCTCCGCTCCCCTTCTCCTCTTTCGTCTTCTCCCCTTCCCCCTCTCCCCCGGGCCATCACCGTCCACGCCATGCAAAGCGACCTGCCCGCGTCCAAAAAAAAAAAAAAAGGACCTGCCCGCGTCGCGTGTCCTGTTTCTCGCTCCCTCCCGAACGTCACAAGACCACGTGGTTCGACGTGAGGTGCTCATGACTGTGACGACCCGAGACCAATGTTGCCTGACGCAACCGAAGTTTCGGTTTCGGTATCTGCTGATGTTTAAATTAGGATTACACAAATATTATTCCACATTTCGCGAATCCGAAGACGTAGAGTTGTTGAGTATTACTTTGTGAATGTGAATCACATGGAAGCCTAAATTTTTCGGAATTGAGCGGAGTTGCCCTTTAAGAACTAATGGAAATGTTTTATAAACCATTTATTATATATGATGTCACAAGCGGTTCTTACATGGTACATTGTGCAGTAGGCAAGCAAACCTTTCATTCTCCTTGCATTTGCAAGCAAAGTTGGCTCATAATTCTCATAACCTTATGTTCCACTTACTGGTGACACTAGCGTCCACAACCAAATTTTGCGAATCCAACCATCAGGCATGTTAGACGACAAAGTAAATTACGAATGTCGGTCACAAGCTTACAAACTTGAGTGAGCATGCGAGACCATATTCATACATAGCACCTCACCACAGAAATGAAAAGGCTCAAATAAACACGGCAGAAGGCGCAATGTTTTTTTAGTTCAACAATGCCAGGTGGCAGCAGCGTTCTATTGTGCCATTACTGTGGGGAAACCTCAGGTTGGGTGAAGGGCCCTCTGACCAGCAGGGGAGAGAGGAGGAACGTACGGTGGGCCTGGTGTCTTCGAGCCTTGTCAGGGTAACGATCTGCACCGAGGGAACTTCGTCCGTCTGCTCGAGCCTGGCAGCTGCACGGGCAAGCTTAGGATTCACACAGCAGTCACAGACGTTTCGTCGGTAGAGAGCGCTATACAGGCAGCGCCAACAAACGTCGGGTGTTAAGGTTTTTCTCGCACACCATCAAAACTATTATAGTACCCGACAGGTCAAGGATGACAGGGAGTCCTTCGGTTGTCCTGCCTTTAGTGTGAGTTTCCTACCTTTGATAATGCTTCGGCGACATCGAGTGTGCACACGCAGCCAAAGCACGACAGAAGACAAGAAGTGCACTCTCGAGGTCGAGCATTCGAAAGGGACACCCTGCCGATAGAAACCATAGTGTGGTAGGACGTGATTGCCCCAAGCACAAAGTTAGGTGGTAAAAGTTTGTGTAAGTGAACACCCTGTATGAAATGAGAGCCAACTAGACGTTGATTGTTTAGACCAGGGGTCTCCAAACCCCGGCCCGCGGAGGTCTTTCGACCGGCCCGCGGCTCGCCGCTGTTCTTCCAATGAAGCCTGACCCACGGCCCGCTTCCAGCAAGCCCGCTGCTACCGGCGCCAAAAATAAGCGCACACGTAAAGAAACAGCGCCACTGTGCGGACCAACTGCGTAAACGAAGATACCAGAAGAAGCGAGACAAAACTGCCGATCGAATAAGTTTGGAGACCACTCGTTTACACAAGAGGTCAGTTTGTCGCTAAGATAAGGTAACTCAGCTTCTCGTAGTGGATGAGCAATTTGGCAAGCGCAGCACGGCCGCTAACCTTGGACTTTTTGATGCGCGTCCTGGATCGGTGGTAAGACGACAGCGCATCGGTAAGATGCTTGTCCAGATTGAAATGGGCAGAGGGATTCGCACGCAGGAATGATCCTTGGATTCTACAGAGCCAGCGAGCCTCAACACTGTTACAAGGACCGGTTCTCATAGCTTGCCGCTGTAATGCCGCAACTCGTGCGGTTCCGTGACGTGATTCGTTTGCCGCCAACCTGTCATTTTCTTTGCAAGGATTATCGGCAACGTGACACCTCTAGAACCACACTATTGGTTCTGCCTAAAGTCGTAGCAGGTCCGCTCAAAGTCGCTTGCAGCGAGCGCTACAGATCAAGCCCTGCGAGATTGTTTCCCTGAGGGCATCAGACATCTTGTGCCTGGGATACCTATTCACCTTACGAGACGGTTTAACCGTCTCGTAAGGTGAACAAGCGCTAGACAAGCTCGAATTCTCCTCTGGAGGTGTCCATTATAAAAGTTTCAGTAACACTCTCAAAACCGAGTCACAGCGAAGAGGAGGATTGCGTTCGTATCATAATTTAGAGACAAAAAAAAAAAAAAAAAAATAAAAACAAAAGGGGTGTCGTACTTACAGCACACAGTTGAGATGCAGAAGCATGATACGAGTGGCCATATGCAGCTCAAACACCAGAGCTTCATGATTTAGTTTATAATAAAGTCATGTTTACATCCTACACATGCTCCCTCATACGTACTCACTCTCATGGCAAATTCTCAACAAGTCGAACTTGGCTTGGCTTGACCGAAGAAGCTTGAATAATCAAGTCAACCCAAACTCACCAACCTCACGAAAAGCACAAAAAAACCTTAAAAATAGGTTTAAATAGCAACAAAAAACCCCGAAATGAATGAGTCAATAATGTAATAACTTAAAAAAAAAAAGAAAGACGTTTCCTGTGCATTCTGGCTGCCGCAAGTGGCGGAGTGCAGCGGAGCACAACGTTTGCAGGCCATCCATTTCCTGTATCGCCGCTCTTGAGGAGGAGGAGGAGGAGGAGAAGAGGGTACGGAGGAGAGGGTATGCCCCTTTTCCTTTCCTCTTCCACGAGGTTACGGACAGCGTTCACTTGGTAGTTTTGGGACTTTATACTTCGGTGTACAATGACATATTAGCGGAAAACAAACAGCGCAAGGACAAGGACAGAGTAGAAGGCGGTAGACACACACAATACAATGACATAAAAACAATACAATGACATATAAATTCACGGCTATCAAGCCGCAAGTCGGCATCTGTAATCAATCATCCACCTTCTCAAATTTTGTGCGCAAGCACAAAATTTGTTTTGTTTGTAGTAATTAATTTGTTTATGCAATATCCACTGCGCCAAATCAGACATTACAGGGGGAGCGGGGGGGGGGGGGGGGGGGGGGATATACATACAAAAACAACATACAATGTCAGTCAGATCTCTGCTCCACGGCAGATGAATTATTCAAACAACACATAAACCGTATAAACCATGCAAGGGAATGCAAGCTAGCTAGATTTAATCTAACATGGAAAATAAGTCATAATTGATCGTACTCCAACCACAGACGGAGACAATCGATTCCTAGATAGTTCTTGGACAAAAGGACATAAATACCTCTCTTCTGAACGAAATTTCTTGCACCTTTAATCTGTGGTCAACACGCTCCGATTGATAGTAAAGCCGCATTATATATACATGTATCTTTGTATGCCAACTGTCGAAGTAAATGCCGTGAAACAGCTTCAAACGAAGTGTTCTTTTGCGAGTTTCCACTAACTCCCATTTTAAGATATATTTTGTGCGTGTCGCGCTGAAATCTCTAATACAGTTCCCCGTAACAAATCGAGCGGCTAAGTTCCACAGTCTTTCTAATTTTATTTTGCCACGTGCTCTAGGCGGGTCCCAAACGACACATGCGTATTCCATAACTGATCGGACGTATGTTTTATAGAGCAATGCGGCACCGCAGGCCTAAGGTATGCGCCAATGGCCTTTCTGTGCTGTCCAGGGTGGTGCTGTCGCAGCCCTTTAGGCGGAATGAAGATTATTATTATTATTGTTATTATTATTGGTTGCACAACGTTGGCGCGAATGTACAAAATAGCTTCACTACAGTCTAGAAGTTTTTTGCGCGACATCATCATGAACCAACTAGGCCAAAAACAAGTTTTAATTGACTACATAGCTTCACTACAGCTTCACCCAACGGCTTCAACCGAGCTCCACACTTGGTGCCATTCGACGGAAACCCAAATGAAAATTATGTGAACTCGGACCGTTGGTTTTCTCTCACAAGAAGTAGGGCGAAAACTCTGCAGGGAATGTCTCTAGGAGCTAAAGGCGAGACCATTAGAAATTGAGCAATCAGCTCAAATTCGCATTCCAAATGCGCTTTATTCCACCAACGGCACGCAGAAACCGAAACTAAAAACAGACAAGCGTACACACAACAAAAGCAAACAGTATTTTGTGACACAAACGTAAACCGTAAAAATCCATTTTTTTCTTGAAGTTCATATATTATAAAGTACTGAATGTAAATGTGATAGCAAAAACCATCCCACTAGGATACCAGTATAAATAAAGTCATTATCATCCAATCCAATCCAATAGAATTTCTAGTGGCTTGACTATGGTGGCTAATTGGCTATCCGACGGTTGTGGTCTGTGGTGGACGTTTGTTGCCTTGTCTGGATGAGGTTTGATCATCTCTGTATCTTCTAGACAGCGACTGGATCAATCATCCAAACTCGTCTTAACTGCAACATCGTGTCCATGTTCAATGATTGCGCGATTTCCTGAAATTTGATTGTGTCGCCTGATGTTCAGTGGGTGCTGCGTGTGTGCTTTTTCCTGACATGTTGGCCCTAGAGCACAACACTTTTCTTGGCTATGCAGTGGAAGGTACAGGCCCACGTTCCCTCCCATTTTGAGTGTACGCAGGCTCTCCACCTCTCCCCATTTCCGGGGAGAGGAGGAGAGCCCGCGCACACTCAAAATGGGAGAGGGGACGCGGGCCTGTACCTTCCACTGCATTGCCAAGAAAAGTTGTCTGCTCCAGTGCACAAAACAGCTCGCACCGTGCGCCAGACTCTGCTTCATTCGGCTGCGAGCAACAGTCGGGTCGACAGTGGGTGAGTGAAGGAAACACAAGGCTCGTCGATTCATACTTATTGCCGACAGGGCGTCGGGAAAACATCCCCAGGTGATCGAAGTTTAATCCTTTGTCCTTTGCTGGGGCCCGTTAGATGCCCTTCGTTTGTTTGGCAGGTAAGCCATTAAAAGTTTATTTTGTGTTACCGACCTCGGTCGCTTCGAGCAGGTGCTGACGTCGTTTCCTTGACGTGTTGCTTCAAAGCGACCCGTCCGGGTAAACGACTATATCCAACGTTTTGGGCAGTTTCAATTGTTGGCACTTGCAGTGTTTCTGTTGGAAACCACAAAGTGATCAGTATATGGTCTCTGGAGGCTTAAATGACTCGGTGTGTATCACCGACAGATTTTAAGTTGGGGTGGTTAGAAAAGAAAAACTAAGAAATAAAATTATTCCTGTCTGCGCCTGAGTTAGCACTGCAATTTTAATTCAAGAGTAAAGCTATACGCACTCCGGAGTGCGCTTCGCGCGGAAATGGCTATACGCACCCCTCCGAGAGATCATGCCGCTCGGGCCACCCTTTTCGAACGGCGCGTGAATCACTGGGGCGCTCGTTAACACAGCCCCCCGCCTGCGTTCACGCCGCTTCGCGGCGACAGTATCGGCTGCTAATTACAAAGCGTAACCAGTACACGCCGCTTCGCGGCGTCCAGCCGGCAATCCAAACCCCGCTGTCCCCGATCGCACCTCCGGAAAGGGAGTCCGATACCATTTAGTTCTGCGAAGTTTCTCGACAACATTCGAGTTTTCTTTTACTGTTCATCGCAAAAAAGGAAATGTCGTAAATATCGCCAAATGCCTCGACAAAACAAAATGTTTGAGAAAAAAAAAAAAAAAAAGTTGGCCCACCGCGGATTGAACCCGCGTCCACTTGCGTATGAAACGGACATCCTAACCCCTACGCCATGGCACCGCTTAGGAAACTCGTTGTGTCCACTCTTTATACGAGAAAAGCGGAGTGCGTATAGCCATTTCCGTCCGAAGCGCACTCCGGGGTGCGTATGAATAAGGTGAGTGTATCAACTTCTTTGTTTTTAGAGCCTATTAGAAGAGGGAAAAAACAAATATAGCTAGTGAGACCTCAGCCACACAAGAGACCTCGGTCAGCAGTTGTTACATAAAATGTGCCCTGGTCCCTGGCTTGATTTTTTTTTTTTTTTCTGTTGTCTTGAGCCAGTGTTGCCAGATTGGGCTATATATAGCCAAATTGGGCTACATTTTTTTTTCTAGTTGGCATCAAAATTTCGTGGTTGGTTATGTGGCTATTTTGGGCTAGTTCTAAGAATGCGGCGAACGTTTTTCGAACTTCAGGTTCAACGCCAAACTTTAAGGCTCGGCTAGTTAACTTTCAACCTTTTAAGCAGTTTCGAAAAAATTAAACCCGTTTACAACTCCCTGTAGCGCCGAATTAGAGCGCAGCTTTTGAGGAGGAGGAGGAGGGAAGGGTACTGGGGGGGTGGGTCAAGTGACCTCGGGGGGCGGGGGGGTCACGTGACCTTGGGGCGTCACGTGACGTCAGGGGGGTCACGTGACCTGGGGCCACGTGACGATGCCGATGACGTCATCAGTGACGTCACTGATGACGCCATCAGTGATGATGATGATGACGATGCGGATGCTGGTGACGTCATCAGTGACGTCACTGATGACGTCATCAGTGATGATGACGATGTAGATGCCGGTGACGTCATCAGTGACGTCACTGATGACGTCATCAGTGGCTATGACGTCAACCCCCAGGTCACGTGACCCCGGGGGGGTCACGTGACCTGGGTAACCATCGTGACCTTCGTGAGGGTAACCTTAGTAACCCTTGTGAGGGCAACTCTCGTAACCCTCGTGAGGGTAACTCTCGTGACCCTCGTGAGGGTAACTCTCATAACCCTCATGAAGGTAACCCTTTTGAGGGTAACCCTCGTAACCCTCGTGAGGGTTACGAGGGTAAGTAACCCTCGTGGCCCTCGTGAGGGTAACCCTCATAAGATTAACCCTCGTAACCCTCACGAGGGTTACGAGGGTTGCAGTTACGCCGACGCCGACGGCGACGCCGCTCAAGCCGGGAACAAGCCCCTAAGAGCTGCGCTCTAAAAAAAAAAAAAAATTGTTTCTCTTTTGGTTAGTTGAGAGCAGTGGCGTCACAAGGGTCAGCGGCACCCAGGGCGATAGCCCAGCCGCAACCTCCCCCCTCCTTTCCCCCCCCCTGCTCTCGTGGCCCGCCGCGACACCTCCCGGAGTGGTCCGCCACCCCCACCCACGCATCCCCCTTGCGACGCCACTGGTCGAGAGTAAAGTCTCTATAGACCTTTTCCGCAAGGGCGCCGCCATCTTGAATTGTCGTCACTTCCAGTATGGGCGAAAACATTGTTTTGCCGTCGCCACACCAATAGAGGGCATTTAGGGCATAAACGTAACCGTCACACATTCATGGTTTGCCTCCCCTCTATTTTTTTACTATTTGCAGGTTGAAACATTCTGATATTTTTTCGTCGCCCATACCGGATATGCCTACTTGGCAGTCGGGGGCGAGAGTAAGCGGAAAAGGTCTATATTACGCTAGGGACATTAGTCGAGAGGAGAGGGAGGAAGGAGAAAGACTTAAAACTTCTACAAACTTTGGGATTTTCACAATGCGCAGTTCAAGCGGTCTCCCTACAGCGCAGTGGAGCAAACCAAACAGATTGCACTATTACAATCAGTGACAATCCCCCAGCTTCTGCCGGCTCCTTGTTGTAAAAACCACAGGCCCGGTAGCGCGTCTTGCACCCGGACGCACATGGCTGTGCCTGGACGTAAACTGAACTCTCCAAATGCTGCTTCGGTGCCCATTGTGAGAA